ATATGTTATCGGCTGCAATAAAAAATCATAAAAAAGACATGACTGTTTTTTTAGCCATCGTGTATTTTAAAACTGTCATATTTGTATAAAACATTATCTATTTACATACAATTCGTGTTTTTATTTGTATTTTTCATAATGGTAAAAGTCACGATGAGCTTTGCACGTGTACAGTGGTCTAATTCTTTCTGACTTTCTTTAGTTTGTTTGTTAATCTATGTTACCTGTTTTTTTCACGATCATATTAAAAACTTATCTTAAAATGGGATGCAACCACGCTTATATTTAAAGAACAGTTAAAGTGGTCAAATAAAAGATAGATAAAGCTTAACAATGAAATGAAATAGTCCAAACAGGTTAAAGGTCCGAGACCACCTGTGCGAACCATTTCAATGCTTTGTTCGATCAGTTTTTGGTGGTGGCAGATACATTTGCAAAACGACTAAAAGAGATGGACAGTAATAACTTTCTTAAGAACCCAGTATGGCCTTTTTGACAGGTAGTCTAAAGTTATGACTGACGTTTGAAAAGAAAAGTCATTTACAGGCTGAACAAAACCGACGTTTTGGAATCACCTTACATGTATTACACTCCTACTGTAGCTTTGACGACAAACTGACGGAAACCTTTGCACAGCAACAGTCTCGAAAGTACGTTATAAGGTTAATTAATATCCACTTTGCAATTCAAAGAAAAGCGAGTATCGTTCATGATACCTGTACTTTTTGTTACGATTTTTTCCTCTGACTGACAAAATACATCAATAAAATACTTGTTCAAAGTCTTTTGTTGACTGTAAGTGTTGTTTTTATTAATAGCCATAGGAATCTACACTTTGTTTAACTATAATAAAATCACTTATGAAATGATGGTATCATCTTTAATAATGAATGCGAATAAGACACGTGTTTCTGGGGCAACCCTTCAAGAACTTCAAAGTCAAATGTATTCTAATGTCAGTTGACGCGCTTTTAACCAGTGACAGTGATTTTTAGCGGTCATTTTGTGAGTTGAGTTGTGCAATATTCGTAAGGAAGTTAAACACCGACCTTAAAGGTTACTCTTAGGATCTTTTATTTGCTTTTTTTCACAGCATGTCAAGGTTTAACACCAGGGTTTCTTGTACATGTGAATGGAGATTGCACTGCACACTGTTACACATTGTTATCTCAGTGTTATTTAGCAATAACATGTTCTTCTGTGAGTTACTGAAGGCAACGATAGGTGATTACTTCAGCAATACCCATACTACTTCGCTATTGTGCTTAGTTTTCCATTGACCGGTTCTCTCCGACCACCTCTTTTCAAGATAGCCAACTTTTATAATTTTTTCTTGTTTGTTGGAGCAGTTTCGCCAGCTAGTTTTCATACGACATTATATGTCAAAACACTTCTGTATTTTCGTCTTGTTTACATTTGGGAGGAGAAATCATTGGAAAATAAAATAAAAGAATGCCTAATCCTTTGCATTTCGACCTCAAACTGTCTTTTTATGTAAATAAACAGTCTTTTGGTTCAAACTAATTCGTTATCAGATCTGCGCGACTACACCAAAGGTATATCAAACAATATCACACTTTGACTGTTATTTTTTGCGTAACGGATTCATTAAAATCACTCTATTTTGTCGWGTAGTTTTTAGCTTAACCTCCGTGCTACCACATGTTGAGTTATACCGGTATGGAAGCCATATTGAACACTATGGTTTTTAATCAGAAACTTGTATATCTTGTGATGGGTGTTTATACTATGAATACGTCAAAAATACCAAATATGTTTCGATACTTTGATAAGAAATTGTAATTTTGCCGTTCGAACATMCCATAATTTCGGACATAATTAGAAACAAAGAGACCAGGTTTAACATCTTCATGCGTGGCGGTGAATCGTCGAATGGATTTACGAGAGGTGCTAGTCATGCAATCTCAACGTGGTAGACAGGTATTTAAATACTGGACGGTCATGTAAAATACTCATGTTTTTCTTTTATTTGTTGGTAGTTTCGTAAGTCTAATGGATTTTATCTCTAAAACGTTTGTTATTACATATCAATTTGGACGAAGCACCAAATTCTATTAGCTGCTGATTAAGTTGCGCAGATTTCAGTCGAAAATATCGCATCAACAGAATGAACGACAAATTGTCACTAATTACTCGAATTCAAAGATCAATACCACTTTTCTGAGATATTTTACTATACCTTTTGCTATATAGAAAAAACTTTTAAAAGTTATAAAAAGGCACTAATCCGAAATAAAATTTGCGTTTAATTCTACCCCAACCAAATTCAACTAAAACATTGTGTACTGAAAACTATCGAAAGAAAGTAATCATTTCTTTGTTATTTCTAAAACAAKAACTAGGCCTACGAATCATCCTATCCACAGTGAATACTAATGGCCAATGTTTACTGCATGGTTTCTTCCTTGAATCGATCGGATAAAACTAAGATACTTGCTTTAATTTCAACCCGGAAGACGACAATCCGACCAAGAGAGACCGCCATTTCAATCCTCAAGAACAGTATCACTAATCGATTAAACTTGTAGAATTGCTCAGTCTAATATTGATAAGTACTACAATAGTTTTTTTAAGAGCTTACCGTTTGTTAGTGGAGTACCTTAACGTTTAGTGTACTACTTCAATGCCAATGCTACTTAGACTCGCTTTAAATATCGAATCTCACACGTGCCGAAGTCAATGTCAATAAATCCAATCTACCATTACTSCTCATTTTCTTCGAAGTTTGCACATGTTGGGTTTCGGCGTTAAAAGAGCATTAGGTGTTCTACACTATTTATTTGATGACAAAGTAATTAATTTTTTTATAGAAGTTGATAGTATTAAGTAAAGACAGCCTTATTTCCCTAGAAACTTTAATTCGACGTTCAAAAATGCAAACAAAGTATTAATGGCAACATATGAAGTAAGTAAGTATAAATTACATAATATCTATTATAGTCGTCAGCTGTGAACAACGTCATGAACGATGACTTGAAGATAATCTCAAACCAGACTTTTTAACATTCTTACCGACTTAAATAACACTCTGGCTTTCCTTTTAGCACTGTTAAACTTGGCTCTACTTTCAGGAATACAACCGTTTCATTCAAAGCATGCTTAGTTATATCAATTTATMTATAGCGCTTTTGAATTGTTCTCTTTCCTCATATAACAGGAAATAACATGATACATTACGAGCCTCTTTGCAGTGCATATTTTCGATCGACTGTGCGTCGCTACGGAAACTAATTTATTCAAAGTTCTTCCTGTAACTTGCTCTCGAATGTCAGCTCAACACGAAATTGATTAAACTTGTGCATCGTGTTCAGATGACCAACTGCAACTGTGCATCATTTTGGCTCTAGTTATGATTTGGGTTAACTGCGCACATGAAAGGGTGTGGCCAGTTCCCATTCAMAGCAATACTCCAGTTTCGAATTCTCCAATGCTCTGTGTTAGCCTCGGCATTTGTGCGCAAAATATTCCTTATTGTGAGCGTAAAAGTGTGAGATTTCAAATCAAATTTATTGTCTTTCTTCACAAATTCCATGCGGTTTTTCGAGCTATCAGTGAAACAAAAGAATATGTTACTTGGTTTTGAGGCTAACACAGAGCAAAMCAGAACTCGAAATCGGAGTATTCGTTATATTATTTTTATTGAAAATTAAACAGACTTTTCTTCAAAGGTTAATAGTAAACGTTAGTGAATTTGTGTAAGCACGTGTTCGATCGGTATGCAAAAATTTAAAGTGAAAATATTGAAGTCATGTTGGGCAACTCAGAAAWTGTAATCACTTGATAATTCTGTTAGTTTATCAAGAATGTTTTTTTTATTTGTTGTACTACCATCTTTCGGTTTCTTGGCAATCCGGGCAAAGTTCATTGGTATTAATTYATTATTTGCTRTGTCTAGTATATYATTTTTTCTCAGTATTAAAGCACGAATGATATAAGTTACAGTCTTGAATACTTTGTTTAGACATYGGTTTCGAACAAGAATACCGACTATAATCTAAATGAAAAGTGTTAGCAATATAATTGCCTATTAGCTCTTTCAGTGGTTTTTATGTCAGAATCACTCTTCCCAGAATAAAAGAAACCTTTTAACATATCGTTTTACATGGTGTCCTGTTCGCCCGCCCATCAAACACAGACGGTCCTATTAATTTGCTAAGAGAACATCGAAACGTTAGGCGATAAAGCAATAAAAATGTTTCAAGATCGCTCATATAGTGAGAGCAGAAGGATCAACTCTCAAAGTTAAAGTGTCGTTTTGTAGTACAACTTTCTTGTCCGTGTTGGGTCGGACTATACGCCATTAAAAACACTGTGCAAATACATCAACGGGAGAAATCTGTGAACTGATTCTAAATAAAAACGCGCTGAATTATATAATTGTGCTCTTGTAGAACTCAAGTTATACCATTAAATAWACGTTTATAGCTTATTACTTACTAAAATCCGACAACAATGAAAAAACACCGCATTTTAAAARACGAGAATACTGAAAGCAGAGGGGTTATGTTTGAGGACGTTTTGTCTATTAAGTTATTGTACAATAATAATAGGGGTAAAGAGAGAACTCATCATGAACAATGTAAATGTTTATATCTAAATACCCKATTTCTATCGTATACGATAGAAATAGGGTATTTAGATATAAACATTTACATTGTTATAGCCAAGTATCTGATGTCGAGTATTGGTCATATCGTAAGTCATATATATAGCATACATTCTATATTGAGCACGAGACATTATTGATGTTCTAGTTACGTCTCCTTCTTCTYTTTAAAAAACATCAAACAATCCKGAATTTTTGAAAACATTGCGGACAAACTAAAGGTAAACTGTAAAAGAATCGAAGCATTCCCCTTAATATTAAACAGCCCTCTCATTTCTCAAAGAAAATATTAAAAACTCAAACAAATATTTGAACAGTGTGCGTTTATAGTTACAACACTCTTGTAGGGTAAACAGTTTACAATTGTTCTTACCTCCTTTCTTCCTCTTGGCGCTCTATCAGTAAAACTTGCCGATCTCACCTAAATTGTTTCTTATAGGCTGATCTTGATTGGCCCTCTGCGGCTATAAACATGACAGGAACATTGATTAAAGTAAATTATTTCTAATTAATCACCAAACAAGTTGAAAAAGGAATATAAAAGTCGCGTGTGTGATATCGGTTTATATTTTATATGTAAACACTTTGTTGTGTGTGGTGATCAATGTTGCTCGCGATTCACTGATATCGCTATTAAGTGCCAACTACAAGCCAARAGATCTACTTTATAAGCCAGCTTCTCATTGGATGACRCCTTCTAAGTGGTACAGTTGTATTATGACTGCGAAATCAAGCGGCTTGTTTGAGACATAGATCGATAGCGCGCCTTTTGACAATGCACCTCTAGAACTTGAATTCGACTAACACAAACAGTACGAAAGACCGACGCTGTAAAAATAGGCAGGAATCGAATTCCTTTTCACTCGAGTTCCTATGATATTTAAAATGCGATTTGTACAAGACATTGCTAACTGATATATATTTACTTAGATCCCATACAAGCACRGCGTTAATTAGTATGTAATTTATCGACAAATACTCATGCAAAGGTTTAAGAAATACGTCCTCAGACTCTACTAAAAACGCTTTTCTTTTCATTTCTTTCCCATTTTTTGTTCTAAATGCTTACAACCCTATTCATCCAATGAAATTATATCACTTTTTACTGCTTGAATTTGATTTTATACACTTACTTACCAGTTTGAGAAGTTGACAATGAGTGAGACAGTATCAAAGAAAAGGGTCCTAAACGGCTGAAACAAGTCTTTAATTCCTTTTTTCAATTTCGAGTGTTTGAACCAAATCGATCCTCTAAAAGGGCTATCAAATTACACTAAAACGAAACTTTGCTTATTAATATTTAATCAACGATAGATTTAACACGAGACTTTCCTGAAAAGGGACAATAACGAGCAAGAAAATAGTAAAAACATATAATTTAGATGAAAGTAATATCAAGGTCCAAATCAATCTTCGCTATAGTTTGTAATTTGTCGATGTACCCTCTGTTTTTGAACATTAGCATCTTTTTTAACAGGTTAATATTTCGCAAGAACCTGAAAAGTAACATGACACCGGTGTTTGCCAGSGTCACTCGGGATAACCAATACACAAATASCGAAAAGGAAGTTATAACTCCCGAAAGTGTTTTGTTTTATTGTGTGCACTTCTACCGCTAAGCAATCTTGACGAACAACGATGCTAATTTGTACATGTGAGAGCTAACGAGATACAGCAAGTGTCAAATAGTTGTAATTATTGAAGACTACCAGCTATGAACAGCAGACGTATATCGTATTATATTGAACAGTATTTAAGATAAATGATGCTTAACTATAATACATAAGGCTCCAAGATTGCTGGCAACTTCAAAGAATCTTAGCGAAAATACTGGTCTATTAATTCGCTTTTTATCAATTTCACTGATTTCAAAAAATATCATGTTTAMATTCATTCATGTTTTCGTGGTAATCAATAGCTATTTAAATTTCGCCTACGTTATTTTACATTCACAATTACTCAAAGAGGGGGGCATCTTCATGTGTTCTTAATTGCTGATTTGCGGGTCGCACACAAAATTTTGGGAACATGTGGATTTTGACTATTTTTCTTGAGAATTTGAACGATGTTTCTCGGCAACGGATTTCAACACCCCTCTATGTACCCCCTTCTCAAAGTTTGTTTTAAAACAGCTGAAATTGAACGCTATCATCCGCTCCCTGAAAACTACTTTCGCTTTGAATTTGAATACTTGAGAACGATCATTCTAATCCAATCAATTTTCCCGTGAATTGAATTATGTTTTACACGTTTAGGATGCTTTGAAACTGAAACCCTTACSTGTGATATGAAATAAAAATAGAGACGGACGATCAAAAACTGTTTTTCTTTGTCCTATATTGAGAGCATTTTGCTGTCAGCGGTCTATATTTGAGAAGTGACTGCCATTCAGTTGTTACTAAGCCGAAGTACGTTCACGTATGGTATGTAATTATAGAGCACTAGCCATATCATCAATATCTACTATCAAATACCAGACAGTTTTAGCTCTAAGTAGTTTAGGTTTCTTTTGTTTTTCCAAAAGGTCTTTGTTGTACGTCATTTTGATTTTAGGGCTGTCTTTATACCCAGTGAAAAGGAAAAAATGATTTATTCTTTGAAGATAATTTTTGTTAAAAATTAAAGATAAAAACAAAGAAGAAAAATGTTTCTTGCAAAGTCCTTATTTTTAAGYAACCGTATGCTTGCTGACCACCACACGTGGTGCGACCGGTCTTTACCTTACTACCATTACATGCTAATATAAAGATAAGAAACTCTCCGTGCACAATCTCTATGGCGGGGTGTATAGATAAGTATTTTTGGAAAAGTTGTGTTATCGAGCGGGGGTGGGGTAGGTTGTGGGGGATGATCATCTAAGTATGAAGGTGGGTGTGGTAGAATTTTACCCCAAAAATATATCTTCTAAAATAACGAAGTAAATCTCAAAGCWGCCGCTGGTGTTATTATTAGAAGATAAACGAAAAGATACCAAGTCGGTGATTTTGACCCCATTCACGCCTAGCTAGTGCYACAAACAAACACATAGATTCGCACGTATCTAGTTCCCCACTGACTTGGACAAAAATACCAACACATAAATTATATTTTTTGATGCTTTTTTCCTGGAAATTATTCATTTTGTCATCGATTCACTAAGAAATAGGACAACAAAACATACTCACAGCTGCATGATCAAGGGCCCTCATCAGAGGTTTGTTCTGGACAGGATGGATGCACGTCAAAGCAACGAGTCATCTTTTCCTGGAAATTATTCATTTTGTCATCGATTCACTAAGAAATAGGACAACAAAACATACTCACAGCTGCATGATCAAGGGCCCTCATCAGAGGTTTGTTCTGGACAGGATTGACACTATTTTTGGACTTTTCCGCATGTTTGGATGAACTAATTTTATATATTTTGTGATCGTATCACTGTGCGGTGGACGACAAAACGGAGAAAACAGGGAAATTTCATCACAAGAGTAATTCTAGAGTTTTTTTTAATTGGAAGAATTACAAAATTATTGAATTTGTTATGGAAGTCCGTTTTAGTCTCCAAAATAAACTATGGTAAGTCGGGTTTCCTGTGGCAGAGAACTTCTTGTCAAATTACAAAACGAACTTGAATACTGTATCCTTATTAAAAACAATCTGATGAATAAAGATATYGTGTTTATTAACAGCGTGCTGTGTATATTGTTTGATCGGAGTATTGAACATGACGTGGACATGCGCACGTTATGAATGGATGACTTAAACAACTATTACACCTTAAACAACTATTACACCTTAAACAACTATTACACCTTAAACAACTATTACACCCAAATGAAAGTAAAAATTAAAGCAAACATACTAGAGAAAGAATGACGAAAAGCCACAGAAAAACAAAAACATACACGATTGCAAACAAACAACAAACAAATTTGTTAAAAAAAAACACTTTGTTTAAAGAAATATGAGAAAAGAAGAATTGAAGTCAAAACAAAACAACAAATTGTACATAAGATAGAATAAAATATTGGAAAAAGAGCTAATCACAGGGCTCATAAGTCATACTTCCTATGTCGTTTAAAACTGCAACTACCAGAAAAAGGACAACACTTGACTTTGGTCATAGCTATCCGGTCGTTAAAAGCCTCTACACTAAATACCACATAAACTACCCCATTAGATCTATGGCCCTTTTAGAATCATTGCTCAATCTGAATCAATGATAAACAAATAGAAATTAAGAACATAGAACGGCATCAGTCATTTAATTTGAAGGTGAAACGGTATGGTTCAAATACAAGATGAAATTTTGCCAAACTCTCATGCAGGTGCTATATAAAGTCTGTTTTTTTGGGCGTTGTAAATCGCCTATTGGCGTAACAAACTAGAAGATACTGGCTTAAAATAAAGGATGTCCGTACACACAATAAAACATTAATAAMTAGGAATTAGTTTTGCTATTTACTGTTCTTCTTTGTAGCATTTCTATCATTTCCAATTTCCTCTACTTTCCTGCATTAGCTTCTATTTCATCGTGACGACATTGTTTTTTTGGCGGGCGCTAAATAAGATCTAATCATGTARARTTATTGCTTCCAGTCAGTGCTTTGAATCATCTCAAGACGACCTTAGAGAAGGGTTTTTTCATTCTGAAGGATTATAGAAAGTGCTCTTTTTCTCCTATCTAAATTGSCATCTTTAGTAAAAGGCTATGGGTGATTAAACCATCTAGCGTAAATGCTTTTAACAATTAATCACACTGGTCTTACGGTSACCGAACGTAAAATAAGGCGCCAYAGCGAATAKGACCGCGTTATGACAGTTCCTCTGTGTGTACAACATGGTACAGAAGTGTGCTAATAAAAACTATAAAAATATACATGTAGTCGTTCGCGGGTAGAACGTTATTATGATAAAAATAATCTCACTGTAAGTTTTACAGAAMATAGTAGATCATGCAGTTATTCTCAGTGCTTAATCTCAAAACTACGTACACACACAAAAAAAAATAATTACTGCACTGGACTGGTGATCTCTGCTTTAAACTCGAGTTTATATGTAGTTTACATTGGCTTTCATTCTGGAAAAGCGTGCATTTCACCGCATGCATACTCGATGATATTCCTTATACCGTGCTCTAACCAAAAGCCGTGAAAATTGACTTTAGAGAGGCAAATTATAACAAAAAAGTCCAAAAAATAAACGTAAACAAAGCGAGCGTGGAACAGTAAGTTTGATTAACTAATGAATCAACACTTACCCACAGACCACGAAGATAACTAGCCATTTTSAAAATGATTTTAGAYTCCTAGGAAGTATAACTCTAGTGTTTCATTTTGTGTAAATTATCCTTGTTGAATCAAGCTCAAAATGACTGTTTTAAGTCTAGCATTGCTTACATACTGAAATGATGTCACATAAAGATTGTCAGCGAGTAAATATTGAARCAAATATTGACATAGTGCAAGAACTAGACGATAAGAGAAGTACAAACAATTAAACGAGCGAAATAAGAGTTGCTACAAACATACAACTCGGCATTTATAGCTTAAAACCTTTTTGACGGAAATAATATGACTCAAAGAGTGCTCAATGGTAAATATTTACAAAGAGAGCAATTGTTTCACCATAAAGAGAAGCAAAACAGTTTCAATACCTTAAGATGGAACGTATCCTCTTCAAATCAACTTCGCCATAGGTTTACACCGTGAACGTCAGCAACCAAAAGTGAATTGTTAGAAGCAGGTGAATCTATCCAGAAAAAGCTCAATCAAATTWACGCCACTCTGATTGGTTTAGTGCGGATTTGACGAAGAATGAAGAAAAATGTTCCATGAAGGCATGTTACTGGATATTTTAAGAGAAATGAAGAAACACCTTGTTACAAGTGGAAACTTTTTACACTAGCATGGTATTATAAGTGGTGAACATGAACATGGCTACAACTCATTTTAGAACGGCTCACTGACCCTTTTGAATACACACAAAAAGAAGAAAACATTTCTAGCTTTAGACCAAACTAGTTTTCACAAATTAAGAGTTTGGTGGCTGGGACTAAAACATAAAAACGATACCTTCATCAAGATCACTAGTTGTYGAGGCCTTCTTCAAATTATAATATTCTACACATAAAGCGATATAATTTCGATGAACATTTAAACGAACTCTCCTGCATGTCGGTACATAAGCTGTATGTAATCTTTCAGTTCATTCTCTTGAAAATTAATTGAATTTAAAAAAAGGTAGTAAGTTTTGATGGAGTTATATGATTTTCTTTTGAGCGCGCGGCTTGTTACTTTTGATGTCACGGTCCGTCACTTGTGAATCATTTCACTTTTGACACAAGAGCGAAAAAAATTATTTCTCCTGCCGACATAGGCCAAGCGAGTTATTAAACCGAGCATCTGACTTACAAGCGGAAAGATAAAAAAGAGAAAAAGGACTTGATAAGGAGCGTTCATTTACGGATTTCCATCACGCTCAAAATGATTGGTACGGGCTCGAGGAAGTGAAATGTCGCACGAGCAGGAAATGAGAAACCTAAAACGTCCTTTGAGGATTCAGTTTAAAAATGAAATGTAGCAATTTTGTAATTACAAAATTCACKAAGTCAGTCAGCTAAATGGCCAGCAAAACAGGCATCGCTTCTSAAGCTAATTCTCAGCGCATCAGGTGCTGCTATTTGAGTTCTCTTCAATGGTCTTCGTTCTGAAAATGATCCGTAAGTTAATATGTTTCAGCGGTTCGCACAACACTGATGAAGGACGAGCCTGGCCAGTAACAATAGCGGCCTCTCTATGACCCAATTACAGACCAACAATGAAAAAGCTCTCCTGATATTACCGCCTAATACTTATTGTTGTGAAACCATACTAAAAACACTACTATACGACGCTCGTGGCAAAGAAATAGGCGTGTCATGCAATTCAAATTGAGATTTGACTGTTGTCCGTTGAAAGAATACGTCTATTACACAAATTAGTTTCATGACGGACATTACGACATGATATCACAATGCATAATGAGATAATTCAGTAAGGTAGGAATGGGCGGTTTGTATAGGAAAATAAAAGCCGAGTATAATTATACTTAAAGTAAGTATAGAGCGGCTCTTCGTCCGATCTGTACCGTTATTATTAAACTCCTGCCATTATCACATCAGCTTTGCCGAAAAGATCAAAATCCATAGCCGACGCTGTGGTGTTTTCTTTATGGTCTATTGATAATATATTTTCAAACAACAAAATTTGTAAAATTGAATAGGCGCACAGCTTTGAATGAAAAGTGAATAAAACGATGGATTGTCCAGCAAGGAATACTTAACAACCGTTACTATTCATTCAACTGCAATGAACATGAATGTTTAGTCAAATCAACAAGACGATTAGTAAACGACCAATATTTCTTTTTAACAACTAAATGCGGTCGACTAGAGTGATTATACTTGTCTTGTGGCCGTCTAATAAAGTCAAAATTATCGTATTTTGTTGTCGACCACTTGCCCAACAAATGATATCTTTGGTGCTTATGGAAGATCCTTTGAACGGTCATTTGACCAAAAGCTGAAGTAATGAATTTATGTGACATGTGTGGATGATAACACCACGTGACCACATTTGATACAATAAAGGGCAGCCTAGGTAGGTTATAATCTTTTTTGTTGATACGATAGGATATTTCGAGTTATACATAGACCTAGAATCTTCCCTAGTCCAATGGCAACGCGCCCAACACCAGACTCTCCAAATAATAAGCTTTCCGCGAACCATTGCCGCTCGGGGAAAACGGAGCACAGATTTATCAACGATTTGCACACTATAGCAATTAACCGTGAGATCGGGGACTAGGCTGTACTGATAGACATCAGGAGCAACATTTACCACAAGAACCATCCATTCTTTCTAATGAACGTATGAGCAGTGAATGAACAGTGTTATCTCAGAAACGGAGCCGGCACCATTTCAAACCCGGACCAGTTTAAAACTCATGGCTGTTCCCTGGATTTAGTCACGATGTTTTAGTTAAGCTAGCAATTTATTGGTGCAACTAAAGGAAACTAACGAAAAAACAATGGAGAGGCTGCAGGGAGGTTAATGTATCAAGCCCTAGACTGTGTCCCGCTTATCTCTCCTTTTTAAGCAATGAATCATGGGAAGATCTCTTCCCTTCCCATCAACCTCTTAGAGCGTAGCAAAAAAAGTAAAATGTGAAGTGGATCCTCCTTTGGCAGCCGCCCCTTGTCACGCAATGTTACTTCACTGTCAAGACTCACCTTGGTCAGATACCTAGCCACGTACAGACGCTTCTTTCAAATTTAACAGAATACCTTGAGGGCTTGGTAGTTTTTCTTCTCGATTGTCTCATTTCTTCTTTGCTTAGGATGTCGACTGTCCTTCTGGGTTAAAGTCATTAAACGTTGTAAAGTTAAACATCATTATCAATACGCCTTGTTGAATAAACAAATGTTTCTCTTTTGGTAAACATTGCTCCAGCTTTGGATGACAAAGGATCTCCCAAAATATAATAAGGATTGGCAGCTACCAAGTAGCTAGTTAGGTGATCTCCACACGTCGAAGTTCCATTGATCAAAACTTCGCTCTAATAGCGTTTTGGTGCACCAAGTGTTTCTCACTGAGTATGTGAATATTCCAAGACTTCGTTTCGCATAGCTACCAACTTCAAAGCGCTTAAGTCGCGTTGTAAAAGGCCACATATTGGCAAGAAAGGTCGAACAACGGAACAAGCGACGAATTCCGCGCCAGGCTACCACATTACCATATTTGGAACTGTATATGGAGTTCCTGTGGTATATGACGTCACCTGTTCTCCATTTCGTAAAATCCAACATGGCGGATTTAGGGAAGAGAGCTGCTGTTTCTCAACTTTTAAAAGGAATAGACAGGTAAATACGAAAAGAATCAGATAAAGAATTGATTTGATTACGAAGATTTCCACACATATTTCGTAGGTCAATTAATGTAGTCATTTTAGTAGAGTATTTAATGAAAATACTATCTTTGATTGTTATACAACTGATCGGTCAAAATGTACACGTGATCGTGCGTCCGACTTGTAAAGAAATGAACTGATCTTAGGAGTCTAAGATTTTTTTATTGACTGTAGAAATGTTGCATTTTGTTTAAATGATATATTAATATATGGACAGAGGATCGATAGATCAGGGGGTTTCATGACATACAAAACGAACAAACGTCAATTGATATAAGCTTATCTAGAGCCATCTAGAGCTTGATAATTTCAAAGATCCCTCCAATGAGAACTGTGAGAACGAAGTATTTCATCAAAATTTTAATGCTGCTTCTTCTTTTTAGATATAATCCTGAAAATCTTGGTGCTCTAGAGGATTATGTTCATATTCAGGTAAGCAAAGATGTTAATATTTTTTTTTGATGAGAAGAAGTATAGAGAGACTTCTCTGTTATATTGGGATATGGAAATATCCTTGAAAAAAGCTGTTTTCAAAATATGCAGTTATCACCCGTAACAGCATTAACACAGGAACCCCATATAAAGGAAATCACATATCTAAATGAAGATTATTCTGTACTTCAAGCATTTTGCCTTTATTACACGATATACAATTACATTCATATTATCTGGAAAAAATGATTGAAATTAATCAATTTACTTTCATCTTGAGACATTTGAAGTTTCATGGTTCTATGTTGAAGGACACAAGTTGTTAACATTACTTTTACTAACTGCTCGAATTTCTTATTTTAGGTTGATGAAAACTTTTATGATCTTGATGCCAATTTAGCTGTGTTAAAGTTGTAAGTATTGGCTTTTCTGTCTTTCAAATTATCCACATATTTCAGAAAAAGTTCCCAAAAGGTCTTCCTGACTGTTATACCATAGGACAATCAGGATTATATTTGTTGTATTCATCAATGGACTTGTGTGAAAGGACAGAAGTGAGATCTTGGTTTTGTTCAAAATATAATGCTATTTTGCCATCACCATTATTTTATAATGTTGATTTTGTATATGAACTTGTGAACTATATAAATGTTCTTTTCTACCATTTAGATATCAGTTTAACCCAGCATATTCTCAAACAACAATAACAGCACAGATTCTCCTGAAAGCGCTAATGAACCTTCCTAATTCTGACTTTATTATGTGCCGATGTGTGATCGACGACAGCATTGTATCCTTTCATTGTTACATCATATGCATTATATGTACCTATTGACTGAGTGGGAAAATATTTGGCTCAAAGTTATGCCGTATGGAACGAGAGCAGCGAGGTTCGTTCAAATGACCGAGATCCAAATATTTTCCCGTACAGCCCGACCTAACTCAGTCATTGATAAGCATTTTATCATATGACAGCGTTTTTTAATGTAAAAAACAAAATAAAAGCACACAGAACTTCAAGCCGGGAAGATACGGGTTTGTATGGCCCTGTCGCGAAAAGGCGCACGGTCCCTATCACGTGTAACCATTTTCCGAAGGGTTTTTAAGAGCGTGTGTAGGGCCGAAATACGGATCATATGATAACATATGTTATTGACCATTTTAAGTAAGTCACCTATGCTGATCTTAGATTCAGGGGGTCTTTAAGATATGGTGGATGAGTTCAAATCACCATCAAAACAACAACAAACTCTGAAAGAGATATTATACAGCTGTACAGTAGCTGTTTTGTTCATAATGTTGATTAATCAAGAATTTGAGGTGCCACTAAGGTCGTTATCTCAAAGGGGTTTATTTAAAATTAAAGGGAAACAGGGCAGGCAATGTATGGACATCCCTTAAACTAAAAGATGTTTTGACTAGTCAAATTTAGACATTGCTGGACATCATTTATTGCATCTGTTAAGACTTTTTTTCTTAACAAAACTAAACAGCAACAAGACCCAACTATTCAGAAAGTTGTCCGTTTGGCTGACTTGCTGGAAACGTGTTCTTTTGTTGAAGCTTGGGTAAGACTTGCATTGTATGATAAACTATTATAATTGATAGGAGTAATTATTATAAGTATTTAGTATGTTGTGTTTGAATTCTCTTTTCTTTATTGCAGAAATTTATTGTTTTCATTCACTTTTTATATATTTTATTTATTTTTTCTCAACAGAAATTTATTGGTGAAGAACCTGGTATAATTGATGGAGTGAAAGGATTTAGTGAAGCTATTAGAAAATGTAAGTATCAGAATATTGCATATAGTCAGTATAATGTCAGTCTGGAAATTTTATTAAATTTGATCATCAAAGAGTTTGTAAACTTCATGGTACATGTGAACTTGTTTTAAATGATCTCTTTTGACACACTAAAAGACCAAGACTTCCAATGAAACATGTCTCGTCTATTGACCTTTTCAATCATTGGTACGTTACACAGTTGCCAGTCTGATTTCTAGAAAGAAATACTTACTCTTCTTTCAGATGTGAGTTATGTTATTGAAATAACATACCAAACAATAGATGTAAACCTTGTAACAGAACTTCTTGGTGGCCTTCAAGGTAAGTTATATAATGAGACAGACAAAATTATGGATAATTATGATGTAACTAACTGAGAGTTGGTGTGACATCATTGTTGGTAGGGAGTAGTCTTCAAGAATGGATGAAGGGGAGAGGTTGGACAGTGGAAAGTAATGGTTCCATTTTTGTTGCCAATCAAGAGGCCCATGTCAAGTCTCGTAATATTGCTGAAAAGATCGATTTTGACTGTAAGTGGATGTGGATATAACCTGTGTCAATAGCAGTGAGCTTTACAATTAATGAATCTTTTTGTTCTTAGGTGTAGCCAGTATTGTTGCAGCGGCAAGATAATCAGCTATTTAATTGTAAAAACAAACACACCATAGTGACATTAAAAACCGTGTAAGCACAAAATGATTTAATTTAAGCTTTTTCGTTTGTAAAGATTTGTTACAGTACCTTTGATTGTGACCCGTTGATTTCAAGTACTTTGATAAAGACATTATTACTCTGATTATTGTACTTTAAGAATAAATCCCCCTTTCCTTTTTTTCCTTTTGAAAGTCTGCTCTGGCATTCTTTTGAGATTAAAAAAAGCGTATGATGCATCTAAACATATCAGATAAAAAACCCGAGAGCTTTGAAGTTCAAAACGGCCACCCTAGTAGTAAATATTGCAAACTGATTTCTAAAAGTGTAGAAGATTGAGTGCCCTACGTACCACGTAAAATAAAGTACTAACTATCACTAAATTCTTAACAGGTAACAGGTTTAACTCAAAAACCTCAAAGACCTTATATAAGCGTCTTTAGAATCACTAGTAAGAACTATGATTACTGTTTGGTAACCAGTCGTGTACTTTTCTGGGCTTGCAATATTCAGGTTTTACTGAGCCCTTTTTCTTGAATTGTCCAGTTTTACGGGAGGCTGCTATTGTCTCGCATAGTTGACAGTATTGAGGATGTGTTAAAAACTGCATTCCTTGTCCTTGTGGAGTAGTAAGGAATGACTTCGGAAACTGGAACCCATGGTATTTCCATGTTAGATATCTATTGTATAAGGTTTCGTTTTGACTAACCATCACCAAATATTCTGCTAATTTCTTGGGGTTCGCAAAGTCTCGTACTTTGATAATGGCTTTCTTTAGGTTTCCTCCAAGTAACTCGTCTACTTTGTCAGTACCCATGAAAACAGGAATGGTTCCTGCATTTAGAGCGTGTGTTAGCTGATCGTCGACAAAATAATCACAGTCTTGGTTGAGAAAAACTATGGTAAACTTGTAATTTCGTAGTAACTTTGTCTTTGCCTGTTTGAAATCTCCATGGTACCGCTCTTTTAATCCAGCATTTATATTTCTTAGACATTTTCCATACGAGTCTACTTGGATGTGTTTCATAAGTTCTTTCAGATATACTGTTCTCGCCTTTTCACAGTGAGAAAAGGCTGCAGCTATAAGCCCAGTCTTGTTGACAAATGGGATGGGTTTCGGCTCCACAGTTGGCGTATCCATGGTCGGCAAGAAAAAGTCCGCTAAATCAGGTCGATAACTCATGAGGTAGTTGAACTTGGAGACAAATTCAGGTTTGGAAACCAACGGACTGTAAACAGGATTTTCCCAAGTGAACAAAACGAGTGGAATATGGCTGTATTGTATTGGTGGAAATTGCGGGTCTCTTGCATGAATTATCATTACACTTGAGTTTGCAGCTCGACTTCGGTTTGCTGTTATCTCACAAGGAATAGTGCAATGTTTTAGATTTGCATTATTACAGATTTTACTTCTAGGAGTGGGTTCATCGCAGACCACTTGATTACCAAAATACGTCGACCAGTAAAGAATAAGAACTTTGTCTTTCGGCGGGTCTTTCTTCTCACCAGTTGACGAATTCGTTGATTGGAAAATGACTTTACGAAAGTTGGTTAAACCAGTATTCACTTTGTAATTCATCTCAATTAAAACTTCATGAAAGATGTTCCTGTAGAAGCCAAATGTAAAAAAGATGATAATGGCAAGTACAGAAAGTGTAAAAACCAAGAAGAATTGAATCTGTTTCATTGTCATTGATGTCTTGACGATCTCTAAACAAACCAGCCGTTTTCAACTTTGGAGAATCTCTTGTGCAGTTTGTTAAATAGTTTAATGAGTTTTGCCACGTCTGTAGCCACAGGCAACCCAAGCTTAGCATTTGACTAGCTGATTTATCGATATCTATAATGTGAATAATATAAAAATTATTTATTTTCCACGTCGCGGGCAATTATACCCTCGATTCAACTCTATTTTTTAAATGTTCAATGTTTTGTTTACAGCACGTGCACATGCCTTTCTGTGGTCAAAAAACAAATTTATCATCAAATTCATCGTCAAAATATTTTTTTTACCACAACTTGTAGAATTCTCGCGCGCTGATTGGTCGAGGGCCGTTGTCAATCCTAGGGCAGACGGATGAAATGACGAATCGCTCCCCCACGGAGCCGGCGCGCGCTAGAAACGGTTTTGTTTTAAAAGTTTTACTTTGTTTTCAGCTTTTTTATGGTAAAAAACAATTCGCAGGGCGTTTTCCATTGTCTGTACTCTTATTGACATTGAAATTGACTTCAAAAATGCTAAAAACTTTGCAGTGAAACCACTTACGCTCGTGGTTCCACTTGAGTTTTGAGCACTTCAGTTTGTTAAATATAATACAGCTTATGAGATTTGCCACGTCCCAAGCTTAGCATTTGACTAGCTGATTTATAGATATCTATAATGTATGTGAATAATATAAAAATTATTTATTTTCCACGTCGCGGGCAATTCATAAAAAGATTTCTAGAAAAAGGGCAATTCATAGTTCCGACAAATCAAACTCGTTATCCGGGCGCGCTGGATTGGCCAATCAAAATAGAGGACACGTAATGGCAGTCGTGTTGTCCCACAAAAAATGTAAACAAGTCGGTTCAGAGTGCGAAGTTGAGATGGTTTTGAGATGTTGCTGGGGCACTTGTAAAGCTGATGAGCGCTAGCCAACCAGATGAAATGGAGGACGATTTATTTTGATTCCCAAGACAAAAACTAGCCTAGAAAGATGTACGGGAAAAGCACGAAGTGCTCAAAGTAAAACTAATGAAAAATAATTAAATCATTTTTCTAGGTCTTTTTCAAATTGACTTCAGATTGTTTTTAACAAAAGAAACAGAAAATTTATTGGAAATTCTATCGACAAATCGTCCAAAGAGTGTCATTTATAAAAAATCAAAGGCTTTTGTGGGTCGATCATTTGTGGGACAAGCGCGAGCGTTCGATTCCCACGCTTTCTTCTGATTGGATAATCGCACGCTCCCGCTTGTTTTGTCGGATGCATGAATTATACCCTCGATTCAACTCTATTTTTTAAATGTTCAATTTTTTTAAGTCAATATGCAGCCAGTCTCGCAGGAGATAATTATTTGAATTTAATTTAATTTATGCCTTTTTGTGGTCAAAAAACAAATTTATCATCAAATTCATCGTCAAAATATTTATCCATAACATTTAATCGTATGAGGAAGTGGCTGATCCCATTAAAGAGTGCTCAATACACATAAAGTGTAGAGCTAGTTATATATATGATATCAAAGAGGCAAGATTTTGCTGTAACTCCGAGTTTCGTGCTACGCACTCATCAGATACTCAATCTCGAGCCCAGAGTCTTCACGGCTAAAGTCGCGGGCTCTGGGTACGAGATTGTTAAATACTGTCTGATGAGTGCGTAGCACGAAACTCGGAGTTACAGCAAAATCTTGCCTCTTTGATATCATATATATATATATCCATAACATTTATTTATAAATAACATTTTTGACGATTCGATGACGCCAACTGCGGTAAACAAGAGGACAGAAACTCTCATAAATTCAAGCAGAAGTAGATTATCGGGACATCTGATGGTGTCGATATCATTGGGGAGATGGACACTTCTGGTTATGTACTTCTGATTCAAGAGATTGACGCAGATAAGAAAAACACATTTTATTTACAGAAAAGTTAAATACAGTCAAGCTGATCTAATTCATGACATGAACAATACCGATATTTACACGTTACCACACACAAATATTTATTTGAAGCCTTGATTGGAGACTCAATCATCTAATTGACAGAGCAAAGCTACACCACGCATTATCCAGTGTTCTTGTGGTTGGTCCGATGGCAGGCGTATTTCCATGACAAAGTTTGTAGAGTGTCCAGTGGTAGAGAGTGTTCCTCTTCTCTCACTTGTCTTATACATGGGTGCAACATAGTGTGGACGATTTTTGATGTCTTCTTTCTTACAAGGACGAAGCCACATAACAGGAAGGGTGTCGAACAGTATCTTGGGATGTGATTCACCTATATTGTTTGTCTTTCTGTCCCATCTTGCTCCCTCAATGAATATACCATCGACATAAACGCCATCTTCAGGCGGAGTGTCGTATTTTTTGTCTTCCAATACATCAAAGTCAAAGGTAAGTAAATCAATAGGAATGGTGTATTTACGAGCGAAATTCTGTTTGGAACCAGTCAAGAAAGCTTGCGTAAAGAAGAAGCCCGATAACCAGAACACTGATGGGGCACCATTATCGTACCAGTCTTGAAGGAACTTCAATCTAGCAATCAAATCATTGACATAGCTTCCCAAGGGTTTTAGCGATGGATATGACTTCTTCATCCATAATGCTGGGATTTTCCCCTTAAGTATGCTATTGAATACCTCCTCCAGCTCTGAAGACATGACCACCAGACCCTGTATAGTAAGCAATCAGTCAATCAATCAACCAACCAATCAATCAAACAGATAAATAAATATATCAATCAACCAACCAATCAATCAAACAGATAAATCAATCAATCATTCAATCAATCAATCAACCAACCAACCAATCAATCAAACAGATAAATCAATCAATCATTCAATCAATCAATCAACCAACCAACCAATCAATCAAACAAATCAATCAATCAACCAGTTCAAAATGACTCGAAGTCGATGCTTATCGAAGGTCGGTCAGTATTTGTAGTTTGTCGCTGTCCTTACCTTAATAGCTTTCTGGATATTAACAAGACTTGATCTCACAACTTCAACCAGTCGGTTGAAGCGAACCATCTCCTGTACCAACACAGTATTCATGCTCTGGGTGTAGGTAGTGGGATACTTTCTTAACGCCGCTTCGGTGTCAAATACATTAGGCATCTTACTCAAAATATCATCAGCCACGCCAGACACCGTTTCGTCGTCTGACTTTCCACCTCCAGACGAAGCTCGGGACAGTGTCAACAAGATGTTGTTGAACAACAATGTGGTTTCTTGTTGGTCCTTGGTTATGTCTGCATTAGCATGCATACCAAATATCTCAGGGTGATCATTGATGGGTAATTTCTTGGCATATTCAAGGTAAGATTCATATTCTCCGGTTGGTGCTGATACATAGTTTCCACTTGGTGAGAATTTATGGTTTTCTTCAGAGATAAGGTTGGGAGAGTAGAACTTATTTAGGATGGTTAGAAGTGTACGTCTGTCACGGTCGTCTGTAACACGACCACCATAGTTACATTCTCCGGTAAGATACTTCAAAGCATCGTATTGGACATCCTTAAAAGCAAATAACAAAATGATCAGACTGAAATCTCAAGACAACGTATTCTATCTCGACGTTCATAGAGCGTACAAACAACGTAATCAATAACATGACGGTACTAAATACAGTAGACGTTTTGCTTACATCGTATTTATTTAAGAACATGTGGAGCTGTCGCACGCTAATACGCAAGTCTGTCTCGTTGAACTCATAAGGAATGTTCCATCCAAGAGGACCAAACTTACGTCTCTCTTGAACCAAAGCATGGAAGAAACATAAACCCTGCAATAGCTTTTTGAACTCAACCTAAAAACAAAATATAGACGCTTTAGAAATTAAAACAACAACAACAACAACTCTTTATTTTGTACCTTTGACAAAAGTTTACAATTATGTTCTGGACTAATTTTAAATTACAGTAGGTACTGGCCCTAACAAATAACTTGGAAGCTAAAAGTGGGTTAAGACCAGGTAACAGTTATGCATTTTACATTGTTAAAAACCGAGCACGACATCACACTCCTAACAGATCGATGCTTGTGACAAATATCAAAAGACTTAGTCGTAAAACTCACCGGTTTCTTGCAACTTGTAAAGAACTCAGGATCCGATATTGGATCACCCAGGTACGATCTTGTTAAGTTCGCTTTTATTCCCTTCGGTGGCTCATTGGTCATTTTCACACCATTTTGCAGTACTGTGACGGGGAAATTCGGTGAAGGGTAACTTGTTAACCACAGGCGGAAATCAGGGTGAGTCGTATCAGGGTTTAAGTCCTGCAGAATATTAAAACATTCGTCTTTACATCAAAAAATGTGATCAAAATGTGTGTTTTTTTTAATGACATACCTCGCAAAGTTTTTCTAGTGTGGTCATCCAGGACGTTGCCAGATGGCAGTTCTGCAATACAACCCATGTACCGTCCTTTACAGCCTTTTCAATCATGCGCAATGCGATAGGACCTTGACCTTGACCAAGTGACAAGGAACTCAGCTTAGGTCCACCAAAACCCTGAAACAGTGCAAACAATTGGTTATGACAAAATGTTCAATAAAACATGTTTTCTTCAATGGATCAGAAAAGAAGCAACAGCAAGTCTAACACTGTCCTCACCTGATCATCAGCGAACTTCAGCAAAGCAGCCGTTGGATCGGATCCTGGCGACAACACAAAGATAAGTGGAGCACACGAATTTGAGTCGCCAAAGGCTTTGGCAAGATCAAATGGAGGCGGTTCAACGTATTTCTTGCCCAGTTTTAGTGTCACGAAGTCTTGAACACAAGGTGTAATCTAGAATGTAGAGAGTTTTATGTAAGCTTTGTTACTGTGGATCTCAAGTATGAAAATGTCAAGCCTTTCTGACTGGCTGTTTTCATGTTGAATTCTTACCTTATCTGGTCGCAAGCAACGAATCAAAACCATTTTCTGAAACTCGTGAAACTTTTCCTCCCATTCTCCTGGCAGTGGCTCGTGGTGTGGTTCCTAGACATCGAAAATACTGGTGAAATCTCAGGGTTTGATACTCAGCATTTATAACATTCTACTCACATTACTGTCGTATATCTTCTTCCATCCTTCTATGCTTCTAGGGAACTTTTGTCGAAAGCCTTTGAATCTGTTAAGATAGTGACAGACTAATGAAATTAAACAGATACATAGCAAAGTATTGTCGATTTCTTCACATTTAGGCTTTCAAGAAAGGAAAAGAGGTGAACGTTCTACTGGACCTCAATCTGATGGTTATAAGGATTTCTTAGGCTAATGAGCAAAGTAAAGCAATCTAAGAGTAACTTACTTGGGTAGATCTTCAAGTCGACATATCTCATCCCATGATCTGCTTGGTAACCACGTGGCAGGGTTATCATGTGGGTTGTCCAGTCCTACTCCACCAGTCAACAGGAAGCGCCATTCATCGCTACAAACCTCGTGGTCGTGCATCAAGATGTTCACACAGAGGATGAACGAGAAAAGAAGCTATAAAAACAACAACACCACGTCAGTACATGCGTTTTGACTCTTCGGGTTTTGAAATGAGTGAGAACGGGAGAAGAGGCATTGTTGAGATATCCATGAGTCATAATATTAACATACAAACCTTGTCTTTCTCAAAAAGCGATCTGCACACATTACAGTACAAAGAATACGTGAAGTGGCTTCTTAGATTATCCAATCTATGGAAGACAAATATCAAACGTTCAAAATTCAATACATATTGAAATACAGGATAAAAGCTTGAACCGATTAACAGACAATCTCTGCTTGCATTATTGCACTACTAATCTAATATAAGACAAACCTGGTATTCAAGTCGTCTGATTTCTCTGAGTTATCGATGGACATGATAAAGAGGTTGATAAACCACGTGAGTGAATACTGGTACATCGGTTCAATGTTAGCCAAATCAGCAATGGAAAAGAACAGAATGGAAGAATGGATGGCAATTGGTTTGTATCCCATACGAGTTGTATCGATCTTTATTTCAGTTTCCTCAGCAATAGCCTGAACAATAAACAGCAATTAAAGTTAATTTAAAACAGCATCGACGTCATGCCCAATATCATGATATTTACTTCAGTATCATGAGTAACACCACAATTTTAAATACCTGTTTCTCAGAAATCTCATTAGCCAATACTTTGGAAGACGACAGTACATTGATTGCCGTCTCGTCCTCTAGAATGTTTCCCTCTGAAGAAGACAACACTTCAAGGATTTTGTCCTCAATTTCCTTCAGTTGCCTGACAAATAGAATTCCAAAGTATTAAGAATAGAAGACTTTCTCATTTATAAATCGTCTGTTCTTTCACTTAAATCCAATGAATATCTTCTTATATCAATATCTTACCTTTTATTTTCAGCACTTTGTATGATAAGAGCGTTCTTCTCTTCTTCCAGCTCCGGTCTTTCTCGAGCTACAACAATTCCTAACAATTGATCTTGTAGACCCTCTGGAGTGATCATGAAGTTAAGCAGAGTGACCTGAAATGTTACGCTTGCACATTAATCGATAAATTATTGACAATTGTTCATTCAATAAGATGGATATTCCATCAACTTTACCTTAACTGCTGTTTCAGGGAGGTAGTGAGGATTTCTTAGTTTGGTGGTGATATAAAACCTACATTACACAAAACAATCAAAAATCAATCAAATAATCAATCGTAAATGATATAGTTAAGGCAAGTTACCTAAAATCTTTCGAGTATTCGATCACACTATCTCCAACTTTGATGCAAATACTACCACCTTGCTTAAAAGTCTGTTTTAATAATAACGGTTCCAACAGTGGGTCAAGCTCTTCGCCAACGTTCTCTAAAAGAACCTAAAAAAACAACAACAATGCTTTAGATACGAGTAGATGAACAGTCGATTACGCGAAAAAAAATGTTTAACTGGAGGCATTGGTAAGCTAACAACCAAGAGATAACTTTCATTGTTCATGTATTTTAATGAAAACGTTGTTGGAATACTGTACCGGGGTTCCAAACTGGATGCAGTTTTCTAAAGTTCTGACGTAATCAGCGTCGGTGAGTTTGATGACGTGAAGGTTATTTTTCTTTTCCATATTTTTAATCCATTTATTGGCTTGCCCTTGTGGATCGATCATTAGAGGCCAGCGGTTAGCATTGCTACAAGAAAATCCACAATGAGATCAAGGCACAGTTATACAGAATATTCACTAAGAGCATGACATAATGTGATAACATGGTAAATACAGTAATAAATCCTGCTTTACCTGATAATGATTCCATTCTCTATGGAAAAACTGTCTGTAGGTAAACCACAGATGTTCCAGTCGCGTATTTGCACAGGATCACCAAGTGTAGATGTTACTGAGAAATCCTCAGAGCATGGGATATTGGTCTCCTTACACTCCTTCAGCCACCTTTCTGATTGTTCCTACAGTTAAAACAAGTTGATTAATGACTGGTAACGGAGAAAGTAAACCAAACAATACTGCAAGAACTTCAGATCAACTCGAGAAACACAGAATCTAGCAGATCTGAATATGATTCTGGTGGATATTACTTAGGATTATTTTACTTTAGACTATTGATGCGGTAAAATCGGTATGGTTCAAGTGTTTTACCTGTCTAAAGGCAGCAGTAAAGGCACCAAGGTAGGCAACAACCCCTGATGACACCAACACATCACCAATCAAGTTATGGAACTTAATACTCAACGCGTTAGAGACTTCAGTCCACCTAAAAACAAGTGAATCGGGTTAGTTTATCAAATAGTGAGAGAAACTGTACGGTACTAATGATGATGAACTGCAAAACTTACCTTGTTTTCTCGCCACCAAGTCCACCAATCAGCTTTTCTGCTCTGTCTAACTTCTTTGTACAGAGATCAACCTGAAATCAATAAAAACGATTGGTAATATTGACAACTGTTTTTCTAAGGATGAGATCTGAAGCAATACTTATCCATCCAATAATGTGTTTCGTGGATTTAAGAGTGTATGATAACATACCTGTTTTTCAAGATCTGCTTTTTTCTTGACATTTGCCTCATATTTTTCTTGTAGTCTTGCTAGCTTGTCTTGTACTTCTTTTAACGCAGCGCGTTTTTTGTTAAGACCCTAGAGATGTACAATAATAGTTGAAATAATGTACGTAACTCATGGTATCAATGCTGAGTTCATTACCTCCATAGCGATTGCTAGATCATCTTCAGCTGCCTTTAGAGCGATCTTTTTTGGTGCAACGACCCTGGCCACTCTATAAAGACAATTGTACGATATTTAACTTCCTTACAAACGGACAGAAACAATTATAGACCAACCTTTCGTAGGAATCCATAGCGATTACCCATCGGCACAGACCCTCAGCAGCCGTGGAAGCGGTTTTGATTTTGTCTGGGTCGAATTCGGGATTTGACGTGTACTTGGCACGGATTTGCTTGATGTAAGCCGCAGGGATATTGTCCTATTCACAGATAATATCGCCAGTCATTAGATAATATTATAAGGATGATAATCACTATCATGAATGCTATCTTACCTTGTCGAATGTCTGCAATGATTGCAGGAATTTCATATCACCGAGCACACGTTTGGATGGGCCCCAAAAATCTTCGATCTTCTTACCTGTTTACCAGTAAACACTTAGCTATTCAAACAAACAAAGACCTCAAAGTGACAAGTGGCTTACCGGAGCCTGAAGGATCAGGAATTCTGTCGGGTTTGATCCCCTTTAAGATACAAATGGCTTCCATGACCAATTTGACTCCAGCTGGAGGACTCTTCATCGTCTTGACGACAGTAATGTCCTAAGATAATAACGTTACATCCTGATGAACTCGATTCTTTGCGATAGTTTCTACGTTTTGTGGTACTTACAGCTGGTGTCAAGGTATTCAATGCTGCTAATGCACTCTCAAGGATTGGAATGGCCTCGGCTAGATCTTTATCACATTCATCTTTGATAGCCTTTGCTGCCATGGCCTGCTCGTTGGCTACCGCTTCGTCTGCTTTAACAATCTAAAGGGTAATTGTTAAGAAACTTAGAAATAATCCTCTTTCCTGAGATCCAGAACAGACAAACGTTTACTGACGCTTCGGAAGTTGGTCCTTGATTGGAGTGAAGAACATCCAAAATGTCAGTAACGCGTGCCGTTTTATTATAAACACAGATATAGTTCACATTTATATAACCTTATTTCTAKATTTACCAACCAAGTTCTAGTTTTACCTTCTCGGTTTTTGCTACTTCAATAGAATCTCTCTCGATAATGACCATGATGTCGTCCACTTCTTTACCAGCTTGGATAAGCTGTGGCTGAAGGGCTTCGAGTTCGGCCTGCATGCCTGAAACCTGAAATGACAATRCTTCTGTCTTTATCTGATCTTTTGGGTAACYTAGATAGGTATTGCAACCAAACTCACCTGAGATTGGGCTGAGTCGAGCTTCTCAAGACCTACTTCATATCGACGCTTAGCTTTAACCACTTCACTGTAAAACAAACGATTAAAGTCATTTGTACTGTTCATGGGTAAGTCATCTTTTGCTTTTTTTGACTCGTAATTGACCATAAAGGRTTACCGATTTTCGTSTACAAATGATRTGAGTTAATAGRGCTTATGGTAATAACTTCAAAACTTACACTTGTTTTTTGTTCAGCAATGTTTTAAAAGTGCTGATAAGTTCCAAATATGACGTAGGAGTGACGTAATTATGRCGCTTGAGTTCGTTGAGATATTTTAATGACAGCTCCCTTGTGCCAGTGTGAAATCGCTGACACATTTCKACACATCCTGTCTTGAGTTCTGGTGCAATRTCAATGTCCTCAAGAAATCGCTGTGCTACGACTTGCAGGGCGTCAGCAGGCCAGGACTGTGAACAAACAACATCACTATAAATATGCAATGATATGCCAAATTCATTGATGTTGATATAATCTACTATTCTACTTGCATTTATCAAAGGTAAATCCATACCTGGAACCAGTCAATAGTACAGCAGTTGACAAGTGATGGGAATTTTCTGAGTCTATTCCTAAATGCATCTCCAATAGGACTCATTGCTAACACAATGTGGAGCTGGTTACGAACTCTCTCGATAAAATAGTTAAAYAACGCCACAGGTGAACCATCTGTCTGCTTGGCCTTATCACGTTGTCTGCAAGAATATCATCAATTAGGAATGAACGAAATAGAACGAACGATCGAAAGAATGATCGGTTAACTACCTGTCCCACACTCTCATTTTTTCACAGATTTCTTGTTTCTCATCAAGTGCAAACAAGTTTGGGACCTCGCCAGCATTGAGTAAATTATTAACGTCCTCTAAAAAGGACTCCTCYTTGATTTGRCTGTCAGTAAACAAAAAGACACCATTGACCTCCCCTTCGGCAGTYTTACGSAGGATTGCTTTGAGATCCTCACGCCATTCAGTTGATGTATATCCCTTGCCGATCTCAACCTAAAAAAAGACATGAAAATAAGTGACAAGAACCAACAGATACTACATATCTTATAGCTACTTACCTGGCAAAGATCGTAATCAGACATGTGTGCAGCCAATCTTGTCAAACTCTGTCGACCACTACCACCAACACCAACTAACAGACAATGACCACGTGGTTGCTTGATAACACGAGATATACGTGATACATGCTCAATGGCAAACCTGTACAAGTACCACGTAACATTAGAATCATAAAAAGGATAGAAATCMTTTGATTAGTTAGTCTATTAAAAATACAAGAAATGTACCTGAAAAGCACTAAATTCATAGGCTTCTTGCTCATCAAGTTGAACTCATCCAAGTAAGATTCAACCACACCACGAAGTTTATCCAAGTCTTCTACCTCRACRTAATGCCTCGGGTCGGCTTTTGGATCAGTAAAGTCACAGTACATTAAACTACGCATGTCATCCTCTTCCACTTTACCATCGTTATTAGAATCAAGCCTGGCAAACAGAGTATCAAACTCGATCCCCATATGGCTCTTGCATAATTCACGAGTAGTGCTATACAGCCAGCTACGATCATCGTCATCAACTAAACGATCGTAGAATACACGGAATACCTGACAATACAAGAAAATCAATGTCTTTTTTTAGGAAACTTTGGTCTGTGCTGGTCATGTAGCAATGCAATAAGAATTTGCTGAACGCTTGAAACAGTCAACGTTCATTGAAATAGATGTACAAGATTTATACCTCATGAGCCCAGAGTCGCTTTAATTGATTGTGTTCTACAATACTCTCTGGTGAAGACAGGAGTGTACCCTGTGGAAGTAACAATATTTATTAATAAAATGTAAAAACAAGCTACAAGGTTTCATTTATACCTGGATAACTCTTGCAAAGTCTCTAAGATTGAACARGTAGTGTGATTTGGCTGGTGTTGGCAAAAGGTTCTCCATGGCTCGTCTGTATACTTCAAGAGTCCCGTTAACCACCATGTCACCAACAGGACCGAAATCTTTAGAAAACCCTCTTTAAAAAGACACATTTATAAATACATATAAGACAGCTTGTATATCGAAATACCATCAATCATTTACCTTGTAGTCAGATGCCATTCCATGATCCTACTGAATATCTTCGTCATCGTTACATCATCAAACTTTGTTACACTGATATTRTTAAAGTGTCGTAAGAATCGTGGTGTAATAGGGTTACGCCCACCTCCTGGTGGACCCATAGCAGCGATGATTTGTATGTCAACAAGATGAATTGGTGACGTATCCTTGAGATCATACCTACAAAAWATACACAATCTCTGAATAACGTGCTGAGAACGAGCTCTGACCAAAGTAAAGGTTTACCATTGCCAATGGTCCATCCATTGTCTAAGCAACTCAATTGGAGGCTGAGCACCATACACTTCACGGGCAGGCATGTTGAGATCGTCAACAAACACAACCTGAATGAAGACATAGTATAGATAAATGACATCACAGTATAACAACAACAACAACAACAACAACACCCTACAACATTCCATCAACAATGATGACAACAACAACAACATCAATAACCACAAACGACTTGCAGTCTTTTTGACACCTACACCCTACAGCAACAACACATCAACAACGACGGCAGGAACAGCAACGACAAGGTCATCAACAATAACCACAATTGACTTACAGTCTTTTTGCCAAGTGGCGGACCATAAACACCTTTCCTACGTTTGTCCAGCTTGGACATGATGATGTCCTGAGTTTGCTTAGCTGTTGTTTGAGCCGAGAAGTTGATAAGCAGAGGTTTGTATTTTTCTGGAAGCATCTTCAGCAAGAAATTCTAGAAAAAGACGATTCCATATCTTAATTCACGTAATATGGACGAGGAGCCACTTTTGGGCAATAGGTGAACAGACAAAAAGGTATAGTAGAGCTGTCCACTTATACTTACTGTGATATAGACTGAYTTTCCTGTTCCAGTAGGCCCAATAAACAAACATGGTTTAGAATGAGTTACTAACTGTTCCATGAGGTAAGTGTAACGAACAGTGTCAACAGTAGGAATGATTATCTCATTGAACGCCATTTCCTAAGAAAAAAAAAATTCCAACATGAGAGATGCATCGTTTAAATTATAAATAATTTCTTTCCGAAGAAGTAAATCAACTAACGGAATTCGAATTCACTGTCTTTTTGTGCAGTTTATTTACCTTAGGAATGGGAGGTGCATCCTTRATTTCTTCTGTCCATAGTTCCCATTTACCCATTCCCTGTAGAAAGTAAATGTTAGTACGGTAATCAGTGACCATACAGAGCATAATACTACAGTTGTACCTCTTTGATGAATCTGTAGTCATACACAGTTCCTTTGCTGGGAAAAGGGCATAGGAATGGTCTTGGCGGTGGATCTACAATCTCTAAGATGTGATATTTACTCTTGGTCTCCAGTGATAAAGGACCCTACACATAAAAMCATCTCGTTAGGTCAGTGATGARCCGCTTTGATTKTCRTGGYGAGAATATCAAAGATTATGATTGTGATTGCAATAATTACGATGATGCTGATTAGTTGACATACTAATGATGAACAATGATAAATGAATCGGAGAATWATAAAACAATAATAATGATGATTTATTGTGAAATGCTTACCTCAATAATCTCACGTAACACTTTATCAAAACACTTCCTTCCAGAAAGATCGATWGTAGCACCAATCGACCAAACACACGAGAATAGGAATATACACTATGAAGAAGAAAATTGATCATTACATTCTTAAACGACTCGCTTGACGCAATTTGTCCTCAATGAATATTGTTGTTGTTGTTGTAATATATGCTTTACCTCAAGCCACGCTGCAACCTCTCGCTCATTGAGYTCTTTGAATCTCTGTTCATCATGGAATTCGTCCATAAGAGAATCCATTAGRTTCATGTGTGAGTTTACAAGATTGGTGTCGTTGGTTGGTGAGAATTCCTACACATAAAAAAACAACKTGATAAGCACTAGTTTCTCGCAGCCGTTATGAGGCTCGTTCCTGGGGAGAGAAGACTAAATAAGCAAATGAAATCTTGTTTTTCGGTTTGATGTTTTCTATACCTTGTAACCTCCTTTTCGTACAAACTGCAACAAAGCCTCCTCCATGCGATCAAAAAGATCTTTAATGAGCTCCTTRTTTTCATCGTTGAGAGTTTTTGGYAACGTGTTTAACCATGACGTTAACACTGGCTTCCATCCTAGCATATGAGGTTCCATGTAGATCATACCACACCGACTTACCTATGGCAAAGMRACACAGTTATCAATGTCTATCTATGGATGACCTTGTCGTTGGTATACTTACTGTAGCTGGAGAGGCTACTTCTAARTCCATYGGCTCAAAAATCAAGTTTGTAGTGTTGGCCAGTTGAATGATTTCTCCACTGTTTAGACAAAGCTGTAAGGTGGAATAGAGAAGTCTTAAATACTCTAACAATATTGATGGTATACAATACATAATGTCGGGCTTCGATTAACTGATGTAATTCTATAATAAACTGTGTACCTTTTTGTTGTCATCTAACACAGTGTTCATGTTTTCAATCCACACCGCATCAACAGGTCCATCAAAAATCAACCATTTACGATCGGGTGTCTAAACAGAAACATTACACGCGATAAAAAAGAGAACATAAAGACCAACCCTATACAAGAATATCCTACTGTAGATGAAGCAAATGCTCTGTAGTTGACGGCCAAGACTCCATCAGACCATTCATGAGATACTGGATCAAACTGTCCATATAACTGACCCATAGTGATAGACTTGGGATTGATAACCACGATTTGTACTTTGTTTTCATCCATTAAACCCTTAAATCAAGACAAACGAACAATGAGACTAGCCATTTTGTGCCATAAGATCTCAAAAATCATTAGACGGTTTTATTCATCAAAACTTTCTATCAATGTTAGAAAATAACGACATATATTTTATTAAAAACTATTTTCATATAATTTGTTGGGGCTTCCTGTGGTACGTACCTTCTCTGTGACGTCAGTAAGTGCRCGCGCCAAGACTCTGTAGCCACACGTTTTCCCTCCAAAAGGCTCACCAACAATCATAAATCCGTGACGAACAATCATCATTTCATAAATCTATAGTACAGGAAACAAGGTTTMTGTTGATCAAGTCCTAATGATCTACCACAGCCAACCCAATGACTTACCTGAAGGATCTTCGTAAGGAACTGATCAGTCATCTGTAGGTTCATGGACTTGCAGTTCTCCTCAATGGCAGCCGTCAGGATAGTGTAGTCTGGTTTTGGTAATGTTACACCAGGGAACAAGTCAGATGTGATACCCTGAAAATTAAAAAAAACACTTGCTCACGTTAATATTGCATTTCTTTATATTGAAGCATGTATAAAGCCTATTACTTTTAATTGTAATYATTCTTTTGGTCGTCTGATGAATGAACGTTCTATACCATCACCTATTGAACAACATCTYTGCGCACGAAAGAAGAAATAAAGCATATGTGTTGCTGATGTTGTCTTACCTCAAATAAGGGTAAATCATGAGCCAAGAATTTGGGTAAATTAACATCATTAATGGACCKCAACATTAAAATATCCTCGTTCTCTTCAGGGTATTTCAGCTGTATAAAACAAAGTCATAAACAATGAATAACAATAATAGCCTCTAATAAATGCCGCGGAAAAAAACTGACCTTCAGGTTGCCAGCAGCAGTCAGGACAGACTTGACAGCTCTCATACCGTAATCATAATGAGCTTGTGACGACAGTTGCTCAGAACASAGAGTGTAGGTAGTGACAATCTTTACGGCAAGSGGTCGTGCCTGTAATATTGATGTATGTCAGAAAAGATCGCATATACAGTTAGATATACTATTAACATATCTTACATTGATGAAACCAAATGAGTAAAGTGAGATTTCAGCAATCAAGGCATAATCCGGTACCATCATRGCTACAGTACGGAAGAGGGCCTAAAATAATAACAAATAATTAGTATTCCATGCCTGATTATGACTGATCATGATAATAATTCTCGATAGTTTATTACCTTGAGATTRTCTGGTAGTTCTGATCGACCAGCATAACCAGGATTCATGGTAATAAACACAGCACAACTGGGGTCTAGTTTAATTTCYGTCCCTTCAAAGAGAAGTGTATCGCCACCACTTCTAATACCTGTACAAATCAAACTCCATGAGTTATGAAAAATAACAATAGATGCTACAAAAGAAGACATTAGAAGCTCATGAACATACCCATTTGAATGGTAAGAATCTGTTGTGCCACTACTGACAACACCTCTARATCAATACGGTTGAACTCATCGAAACACGACCACGCACCACATGATGCCAAGCCCTARTGGACATCGCACAATGTCAGTTGTTCATAACACAGATTAAAAGTTTCGAAAAGAGAAATTCATTGAATGACGACATGAAATGAAATCTAAATGTTGTTTGCAAAAGTAGTTAAGAATCCAATTACCTTGAAAAATTTACCCAAAGCGATGTAATCCAGACCGTCAGAACAATTAAAGACAACACATTGCTTAGCAACGGCTTTGGCCAAGTCCTTGGTGGTCTCTGTTTTACCTGTTCCTGCAGGACCTTCAGGGGCACCCCCAAGATGTAATTGCAATGCACCAAAAAGGGTTCTGATACAAAGATAGGTTAAAAGTATAAGGCCATTAGATGAAACGAATCAAAAAAGACATCGGGTAAAAAAGTCTAAGAATAAAAATGAGGAAACAAAAGAGGTGTGATTGCGTGTTCCCATATGAATGTGGGAAAGGAATGGACGAAAAAATGAAGGAGAATGAAGAAGAGAAGGCGGAAAAGAAAGAGTGGAAACTATCTTTGYTTGAACACGACACGTTYGTTTTTCAAGGAGTGGAGTTCATACCTATAACATCTATCAGTCAGGGGTGTGATGACCAATCTACCAGAGTTACCAAGGTACTCATAYCCATAAGGCAACTGAGCACTGATCATCCTTGTGATCATATTTTCATCCTGGAAAACACAGTTAAGAGTCAATGTGATGAACATCAACGATGACAGCATCATTGACAACCTACCTCCCAATAGTATCGAAGCTGTGCCAGCCATTCAAAATCATCTTCAGATGTTATTTCTAAAACAGAAACAAATCAACTGTTTTGTACAACATTGATAACTGACATTTAGAGAAATTGATGATTATAAGGATAACATGCTATGAATACAAAGATAAAACTTTTTCTTACTCATTTCACATAGCTTGGCAAGCACATCTCTGGCATGAACATCAAGCACGACTAATGCACCTAATGTTGCACGGTTTTGTTTTGACAGCTTGCCACGGACTAATGCCACAATATCATCGATTTGACTGTTATTCAARGAAAGGTATTCTTCCAGTTTCTTCTGTCCTGCTCGAATAGACTGGTGTATTTCATAAGTCCAGTAAAACTGTGTTACACATAGAACTGTCTGTCCAGGCCACGCACGTACCCACTTGACTCTCTCGTCTTTAGGATAAGCTTCCTTAGCTTCCATGATCACCTGATATATGGATTATAAACGAAAACGTAAATAAATTATACTTCAATGAGGAATAAATTGTCAGTGAGTCAGGGCAATGAAGYAAATAACATACCTTTCTTAAACTAGCAACCATATCTTCCTGAAGCTCAAGAAGCCATTTCTCGACCTGGCCACGAGCTTTGGCTGTAGAAATCACATCTCTAAGCTCAACAACTTCTCCTTCAGAACTCTTAAGATGTGTAATGTCCAAAGTGTCTGTGAATTCTAACTTGGCGATGCCTTCAAAGCACTTCTTGAGGTGAGGTTGAACCCTGGCGAACACATAAACAATTCAACATGAATGTTTCAATTGYTGTAATCGTTAGAGGACAGGCTTTCCGCTTAACTGCAATCMAAARCACAGTTCTATACTAAGAGCGCTGATAACAAGCTAACCTTGTTGGATCCTTGGTCTCTGAAAGGATTTCAAGCAATTCGTCATTGGATAAGAAGAAAAACCTTGGGAAGTAAAGACGTTTCTTCTCCAGATACTCGTTCAGGCCCTGTAATGACATATCAACGAACAATAATTAGATATCAACCCAAAATCGTTGAGCGATAGTTGGTGCTTGTCATTGTCGCTATTGTTGTTGCTCATGTTGTTGCTGTCATGTTACCTTCAAGATAAGCTCCAAGAGCTCGTTGGATTTCTTCAATCTTTCAAGAAGTTTTTCAATACCAATAACCGTCAAGACATGCTTGTCCTAATRAAATATATACCTTATATTAATATCTATCATACACATGTTTAGACAAGCACATTCGTATTAGTCATACACGCAAAACATACCAGAATAGCAACTTTCATGATTTCTCTCCAGTATTTGTCAACAGTACTGAATCGTCTGAAAAAATGAATGATGAGAATGAGACGTTATATACGTTATATACGTTGAAAAGATGTTCATCACAAACCTTCCTTCTTCAGGCATTTGTGCCATGATATCAGGACTGCTAAAGATAGGCTCCAAATACAACCACGTCGCTTGTACCTTTAGCCATTCATCAATGATCTCTTGCGTTAAAAGCAGCTTTCCTTCCCATTCCCTACMAGAAAGCAAAGAATCCAACATTAAACTTGTGCTTTTGATCATTCTCGCAAMGTTACTGTGYTGTTTAAAAGACAGACAAACCTGATTTCATTTTCAAAAGGTTTGATGAAAGGAGATCCTCTCATTGTTTGTGTCTTSACGATCTGATCATCGAGCAGTGTTTGTATATCATCAATGGACGATAAGATGCACGTCCCAGTCTCACGATATGGTATCATGACAAATTCAACCTAACGATAAAATGAAATATAAATGAGATAAACAGGACTGCAGAAATAAAGAATACAACAACTAGTAAGAGATACAAGAAACAAGAAGTAGATGGATAAAAGAACAACGAAAAAGAAGAAAAGAAATAGAGAAAGGAAAGAACGTAAATTCATGTTCACGTACAGCGTCCCATTCAGAAACCATCTTTTCCATTGCTTTTTCCAAGGAGAATTCCTTGCTTGCAGCTTCACTGATTGATTCAAAGTTCTTCAAATATGGTTCCAAATTCATCTCAGTCATCTTTGCGAGATTCATGTCTTCATCAGGTTTGAGAGGGAATCCAAGAATTTCTGACATCTGGTCCCAGTGRCGATCACGTAGACCAGGATTAAATACAACCTGGACTAGCGGCATGTATTCCTTAAATTCCTCCACTTTGGATTTCATCTGTAGAATTTACAAAAAACRYGTATTACTGCYAGTCCTACATGGTGTACTTGACCTTGGTTAGATTMAAATRTACCRCACCTTTATTGCAATCTTCTGTGCCAGAGCTGAGTCATTCAACTGTTTCTCAAGTTTGTAAAGACCTCTCCAGTAGTTACCTACTTCAACTTCKACTTTATCAGGATCAATGGTACCCCATGGTCCTTCCATCCATTCCCTAAGAGCATTATCAAAATATTATATTCATTACTGCTGCTTCTAATATTGCTTGTCATACTGTTTMTGCAATTATTGCAGATAGTAGTAGTTGTTATTRTTGATGTTGTTATTGTTGACGTTGYGTATCTGCAATCRYTGCTCATGYTGTCATTACYACAGCTGTTTTATACAAAACAGTCACTTACTTGTATTTTGTCTGGAATTCAACTGTTGTTTCATAAAGCTTCAAGAAWGGACTCAAAGTATTGATGAGCTGTTGTCGTTGTGGATATGATGTCACATCCCAACCAAATGCCTCCTCTTCAATGTTGAACATATTAATCTGAACATAGCAGTAATAATTATTATAACATATTTAAGAGTAATAATAATACCAGTGCCAAAAAGATGATTGTCCTACAATCAAAAATGTTTCCTACCTTGTCTGCAGCACTTTCCAGGCGCTGATTCAAAGCTTGTGCCTTTTTGAGGTATCGTGGGACCTCAGGCATGTCACCAAAGGTCTGGAATTCCTCTAGTTGTTTAGAGTAACTCTCAAGTTCTTCAGCAAACCGTTCTCTTCGCATCTAATAGTAAGTCATGAGCAAGTGTTAAACAGCAATAAATGGAGAGTGAAAATAAATACCTTWTTCTTGGAATTTGAAGAACTTTGATTAAAAACTCATAAGCGTTACTCACCTTTAGGCTRTTCTCATACTGAATACGATTTGCGTTGATGATCTTTTTGTGTTCCTCAAATACTTCTGGCATACGGAAGTGCCAYTGAAATACGCTGTTGTTGAGTCTCATGTCAGCAGGTGAAAATGATGCATAATCAACCTGTTATTAAGTCAAATATATCATTCCATAAGCATGTAGTAATCAAATAATTATATAGAATTATCTATAATTGACATACCAGAAATCCAAGTCTGTTTTTGGTTTCAACAAGTCTCTTTTCAAGATCAAATATAGTCTCGTTTTCCACTTGTTCAATGTAGTTCTTTGAGATAACATGAAAGAAAAGATTTCAAGTCATTACAACAGTGTTATCTTGATTATAAAAAAATAGCTCATGGAATGCCAAGAATTCTGCTTTTTCCCAACATCAACACCATCAAATAGTAATTATTTTATGTTGACTGATGTTGGAAAAAAAAACGAAATTATTCTATGATATTAAATTGTTATTCACCATCCCTTATTTTTACCATCCTKTGAAATTGCTTACACAAACAAAACCCACTCACCTTCAATTCCATTAAGTGTTCTGTGTTTGCTGGTGAYGTGAGTGCCTTTTCWGCTATTTTYTCATAYTCTTCACAAAGTCTAATKACAAAAAGATACAATAAATCATTRGACTCACAKATATAGATAACTTCAAACAATAACAAATTTACTTTTTATTCAACGTCTGGTGCTCAATGCTCATTCTTTGCAAAAGTTTTGTTCGTAATCCATCTGCTCTCTTGGCAAGTGCCCTGATTAGTTCATCACAGTGAAGCTCAAACATACCAACACGTATGACCTAAAAACATCCACAGCAATGTATTAGTTCTACTATAGAAAATAGAAACCAACACGTATGACCTAAAAACATCCACAGCAATGTATTAGTTCTACTATAGAAAATAGCAACCAACACGTATGACCTAAAAACATCCACAGCAATGTATTAGTTCTACTATAAAAAATTGATGATGTTTTAATAAACAATAACATTCCCATACCTTTCTAGAATTGTAATTGATGTCATCGACAAGATTTACAAATTTTTCAACTTCCTAATGAATAAAACATGATTTAATTTAAAGAAAGATGATGTACATAATTTGTAACAATCTACAGATGATGAAATAAATACTGGTGGCTCAAGTAAAACTCTTAGGATTCCTTTTAAACTCCACTCATCTGACCATTAATTTTACCTTTGCAAATCGATTAAATTTGTGGCCCTCTAGAAGAAACTGGTCAACATCTGCATCAGCCTGTGGGAAAAATAAAATGAGTTTTAAAATATGACATCCTATATCGCAGACACTTCAGCAATTCTGTAATCATAGACAAGTGATCCTTTTGCTTACCTTCTTTGATATGAGATCTTTATACTTGTCATAAAACTTGAGGTGTTCTTTTGGTCCTGCCATCTCTCTTGCTATTACCTCACACACCTGAAGAGTTGGAAATATGAGATAAAATGTCAACATCATACCAAGTCTCTTGATTCCCTCTCTTTACACATCATAAGCCATACAAATAATATAATAATTATATTGCTGGAAGGGTGGAGAAATGCAGAGGGTATTGGAGACTGTGATTGAAGGCTCATGTGCATTGACGATAGAGAAAAGATGATGATGAATTATACCACTCTTCTTACTTTAGCTTTGGCATCATTAACTATTTCTTCTGAGATAACAGGTTTTAAGGTTTTCTTTGTTCCAGACTGCAGAAAATTAAAAAAAACAGCATTTAGAATTATTTTATAATTATCCTTTAGTATGACCAAAATATCTTTTACTTACCCATTCAGAGTAGAGTTTGGTTTCAACTCTTGGTACAACCATTACTGCTTTAATCATAACATTGTACACATTGAGCAACACAACCTGGAATAAAGTCATAGTATTTTATAACAGTCTTTTTCAGGATGTCTCAACTACTTGTATTTCATACAGCCATGTGAGCTATTGATATTAAGTCAGTTATTACCTCAAAATCTTTAAAATCAGGTTCAAACTTGACAGTATCACCTTCCAGAACAAGTCTCATGATGAATCCTGGATGTTCTAATACCCTTGTTGAATGCTACAAACAAAAGCAATGACAGTTAATATGACTGAAACATGACGTCATTTTACATCAAAAAGTACAGAAATACACACTTGGACCTCATGAGAAGTTCTACTGTAAAGAAACATCTTTCACAAATAAAAACAAGAACTTACCTCAGGAGGGCAGAATAACCTAGTGTAATCTTCAATAGAGCTCAGAGCTAGTGTTTGTAGTTGATTGGTCATCAAAACAGCAGCAGCATTGAAGAATGCTTCTAGTCTCTTAGCATTCTGATTACTGGGGACTTGCTTACGCTTGTTACCTTGATAATAGATATTTTGAACCTCTGGGAACCATCTAGTGAACAAAGATTTTTTTTACAAAAACAACAAATAATTCAATCTAACCATTCAGTTCATTCTGCATATTACATACATATTTCTTTGTTTTGATTTTAATTAATGACAAAGGACTTACTTTTTCAGGAGTGATTCTTTTGCAATCTCAATATGTCTCATGACAACATTCTGGAACATTGCTAGCTCTAAAGCTTCAGGTCTCAATTGAATGTCATTGACATCAACAAGTCTTAGTGATCTACAAAACAATAGCAATTTAATTTAAGTCTGAGCAGTACAGATGTGTCAGTGCCAATGGACTGTCCTCCTTAGCAGTAGAGATTTTTGCACTTTCATTAATAGAACAAGTTTTCTGTTTTCTAGTTAACAAAAGTACAGGAAATATTTCTTCATATATTAGGTACTATATGATGCACATACTTGAAAGCTTTATGCCAAAGGTCCAGTACACCTGCCATAGTTGGATTTGTAACAAACAAGTCTTGTTCCATTGCACCCTTTGAACTTAGATAAGATCTGAACCATGGCTTAGGCACTTGCATCAATCTGTTAAAAATGAAATATTGTTAATAAAGGTAATATTAATTAATCATTATCAAATGCAATTAACAGCAGTAATCATACTCTAATCGATGCTCCAAAACTTCTTCTTTTTTGTCGTCATCTTTCTCTCGAGGATCTTTGAGAACAAAGTCCACTAGAAGAAACAGCACCACAGTTAAGGTTAGAAACAATTTCAATATGTTTCATGACTTTTATTGCTCTTACCAATTGCTTTTTTGACACTTAGTAAGTAATCCTCCTTCATCTCATCTGAAAGGTTCTCTATACATATCTCATAGCCATCCTGATAAATGCAAATAATTTGTTAAAATAATCATAACCTGACAATACTGTGTATCAAAATACACACATAACTTACTTTGAGTGCATTAGGCACAAGGCCTAAAACATGATCCAACCATGAATCCTCCATTGGTGCAACATGTTCAGTGTCAATTCCATTGTGAATGTAATAATAGTAACGCTAAAAAACATATGTCAAAATTGTCAACATAATAATAGTGATTGTATTATTTGATGGTAAATTGTTAATACCAAGATGTCTTTCTCTGCTGCAGTTGGAGATCCTTTTCTTTCAATAGGAGGCAGTTCAGTGCCTGCAGAGGATGGTCTAGGGGTAGAAACTCCATCATCTTGCCTGGAAAACATAGTAAACATTATGCTACACAATTTGAAACAATTCCAGGTAACTACACAACAATAAAATGACTTCTCACAGATAAACAAAATAAATGATCAATGACATACATGATAATATTAACCAGTGCACTACGGAATGCCTCTCTGTCCTTCTTAGGTGCATAAGTTGAAGTTTGCTTTTTGGTTCCACCAGGAGGTGTGGGTGAAGATGGTGATCCATTTGAACCCTCCCAGGTTTTGCTGCGTAAATGCTGTTTGGGCTTCTTTCCTGAAAAAAGACAGCCCATTAAATGAATCATGATCTTTTGTTGCTATAATATCAATTTTACATTTTGCATTGTTCTGGTACAAATTCCCCATGGTCTGTGGTTTTAGGAACAGTAAGATTTTTATTGGGGCCCAAACCCCTAGACTGCCAACAATGCAGGCAACACAGTATGTGCAGACTACATGAAAAAGAAAACCTTCCATACTAAAAAAGATATAATAATCAATTACCTGGAATAAAATCTCCATCATCCCCATCAAGACCTTGTTTTTTAGTTAGCTGGAATGATGGAGGTGACTGCTGCCAGGCTGGTTTGCCTCTTTTCTCTGGTAATTGAGGCAAGAATCGTACAGGTACATGTGGGTTTCTACCCTTTGATTTTGTACCATTCTAAAGTAAACGAAAACAGAACAAGTTAAATAAATATCTGCCTTTACTGTAAAACTATGTAATCATGCTAATTGCGTGGTAAATTGTTTCAACATATAGCGAGTACTCTTGCAAACTTAATATCTTTGTGCATATTTATCTGAAAACTTTTGAACTTTTTTGTACAGCTTCAATAATCATAAGATACGTAATTTCTCAGACTTCTGAGAAGATGTACTTATTGTACATGCATATTTTCATTTTTCTCTGTGAAAAATATAAAATTTACAGTGAAATTTAAAGAAAACATGTCTGTATTCTAAATACACCAAACTGCAAGTAAGTTACTGTAACAGGATACTCATCAACGTCTGGTAGGGTGATCAGAGTTTGAGCGCCAAAAAAATAATACAGTTTCCATACCTTAAGCGTAAAAAGCAACATGCATACCAAATTAAGTTTTTAAATAACTTTGAACTCAAAGATTACAATATTTTCAAGCGGATCTTATTTGGACAGTAATTATAATCACAATTGAGTGTAAGAAGTCTTACCGTATGAACCTCCATGATTTTGATACGATTCTTCAAAATAAGTTGTCAGGAAGGTCCAATTTTTAACTACATGACATTCCAAATGGTAGATGTTTATGTTTTGCTTAGATTGATAGTATAAAATGGCGAATTAACCAGGAATAATGTAAAATAAATCCCTTTTTTCCTTCAGCACAATGCTTTGGCATTCGCCATCTTTGTTTCTTGGGTTTCCATAATCCTTGTTGCTATGGGAACTATGTAACCATTTTACTGCGCATGCGCAAATCTGGTCCAAGTTCCATTTTTAGTGCGTTTGCATACCTTTTTTACTGTAGTTTATTTCAAAGGCATTAAATTCAATTCACGCAGTATATTGACTACACTTCCTCAGCAAGAGTTTTCTTGGTTTCAACAATATTAGTAACTAATTCTGACCTAAACATAAAAACCGCTCCGGGACAACTGACTAAATAGCCGACTTGCGAATTACGCATCAATAGTCACATACAAAGGAATCAAGACGAGGCGCCGTGCTTTTTTGTGAAAAGTCTATTGTCTTTAGCACGGCGCCTCGTCTTGATTCCTTTGTATGTGACTATTGATGCGTAATTCGCAAGTCGGCTATTGGCAAGGCCCCATGCTCCCTAGGTGCCCCGATCATGAATCTTGGACAGTCTGGACAGGGTTTATGACCACGGTATACTTATAAGGGATACAGTCCGGATTTTCATTTTCAAACAATGCTAAGAAAAAGTGGCAGACTTAGCACATAAAACATTAAAAGTAAAAAACTTGGGGGGAGAAGGTCTACTTTAGTCCGGTTCATGCCGATAGCCCGCTCCACCAGTGGCGGATCCAGGATTTTCCCCAGGGAGGGGTGCGGTCCTCTCAAGAGGTGTTGCACCCCACAAAAATCATTACATCATTACCATGAAGATACTACATTAAGGAGAGTATTGAAAGAAATAGATCTCAGGAGGGGGTGCACCCCCTGCACCCATCAACTGGATCCGCCTCTGTCCACATATCGATGTTTCTCAGTTTAGCCGCCTCGGAAACATTGTGGTACAATTGCATGTGTTGCACTACAAAGTCGTTAAATGGAAGAACGTTTCCAAGTTTAGACATCTCGGATAAATGTATCTTGACTCGGCCCGACCAACTTCCGATCAACTCCTTTCGATGCCTGTTAATAAAAACTCAAGACAACTTGATATGTATAATCTTTATTGCTACTCTATGAATATTTTCTAGGATTATTTGTTTATTTAGTCTGATATATGTAATCTAAATTTCTAAATGGTACTACGTCACCATATACAGTGTCTATATACAAGCGTGTACCGCCCTGTGAAACGCGTGCCCCGGTCCGCGGGACCTATGTACGAATGAATGACGTGCAGTGTACTAAGGCAAAGGTTTGTCCTTCTTGTTATCAGCTGTATACACCAGCAAGGAATAAAGAGCCAATATACATCATCTTTACACCAAGTATAAATAAAAAGTATGATAATCAATCAATGAGCGTTTTTGAATCAATTGTTTTATAGAAACTAGTATTCCTAATGATTTTCCAATTAAATAAAGAATAATGTCTGGCGCGTATGGAAGTGAGTCTAAACAGGGTGCCGTACAACATTCGTTAAACAGCTGTAACCTTCTGTAATTGCAAAGCATCCATTTGTTCCAGGATAAAACTAACTGTATGCTGCCGCAAAAGATCAAGATGGTCTTGTAGCAGAGTGATTTTCTTGTCTGCATCGTCAAGCTGTGACGACAGGTTCGCATTTTCCATTAACAGAGCATCTCGGGACTAGAGGAGAAATACGCTATTATTGAAAACACGCCGAAAATGAACTTAAACCGCTACAAACATAAACCATCGCGAAAAACATAATATAAAAACACATTTCCATATTTTATGCGATATAGTAAATCTTGAGATAACAGTTTATACCCCAACTATAAAGGTAACTTTATAAAGGGATTAACCCTCATTTGTCCTATTTAAGTCGTGCAAAAGCAGCTTGAATTACGTTACCCAAACCGCAATCGTATTTGCTTGTGATTTATGGGCGTTGAATCTCACCTCCTCAGCTTTGAGTAAGCGATCATAGAAGTCAGCTGGCACGTTCACGGTTTCACCATTCTGTAATTTAATACTTTCAACAGTTGAACTTTTGACGAATTTCATTCTGTTTCGGATTTTTTTCAATGTGTCCGTCTTGTTTACTGAAGAGAAAACGAACATTCATTCATTAACATTAGCGTGCCATTCGACATCATTTGGCCGGGTGTGTACTAAGTGCAACGGAAGTTAGATAAACCACGCCTTAGTTGTATAAAAAGATAAGCTTTTAGTCTATCAAACACTTACTGAAATACTTGAGAGGGAAAGAGTCAAAGGTTAAATGAAATCTTGGTTTGGATTGAAAATTAAACTGATACAAATTAATTTGGTTATGTCAATGATCGAAGGTCAAGAAGCTAATGTACCGAACAACCACAACACAAAAGCCACTTGATTGAGATTAATGCTCTTAATATTGGCTTCTTATAAAAACATACGGATTCCATTCTAGATTAGCGACAATACAGTGTGGGTGTGTTAGCTAACTCACCATTCAATGGCGGGGACTTGCTTCTACATTCTGTAACAATCAACTTTTTGCAACTTTTATGACAGTTAACATGGCAACCTGTTGGTAGATAGGTTTTAATTAAGTATATCATTGAAATTAGTTAAAAGTTCCTGCATTCTCTTCTTTCATACATAAAATAAAATAAATGGTGACGTGTCAAACCAAAATTGAAAACCAGAGACAACGCACACACCTTTGCATCTGTAACCTTGCTTGATGATGCCTCTCAACTAATAACACGGAACAAAAAAAAAAAGATCGATTAACAATCTAGAAAGGGTAATCAATAAAATAATATTCTTCAATATCTTACCACGCCCCCACAGTGATGACAAAACGTAGTCGAAAAATATGTTGTTTCTTGGAAGTTGTGCGAAAACTCGCGGCTTAGGTTTTGTGAGTTAACTTTTAAAAAATAGTTTTTCATTTCTTCTTTAGTGATTACACCATCGCTGAAATAGATTATGAGCAAAATTATATGTCAAAGAAAAAAAAAATCAGGAAATTGTGAATTTGTAAATAGGAGTGAAAATATAATGTTCATGCTTATAGGAGAATTACTACAGGAGAATAATGATAGCAATAACTCACCTGTTGACATCAATGACTCCAAATGTGTCGATGAATGGAAAATTAGTTGCGATGGAATCAAATTCATTGTCGCTTATATATCCATCTTTGTCTGTGTCGTAAACTCTAAAAACGGCCTGCAATATATAGCATGCTTATAATTAATACCCACAAATCACGTCCTTGCAGCGCATGCCCACGCGATTCCCCACAAAGTGACGTAAGTGCTAAAGCGCATGCTCACGCGATCGCATTTCCTACCAAACTGACGCACTGTCCCATAATAATGAAGCATCAAGAATAACCAAAAAACACACCTCAACCATAGCTGTAACGTGCCTTTCCAAAACTCTGGAATCAGGTGCATTGAATGTCCCAGAAGCCCAGTCTCCAAACTCAATGACATCCGGTGTATTCACTTTAGACACGGAGTCTAACTGTAAGTAAAGTAAGAATAGTAAAATAATTGACACGATATATATGTCAAACCAATGCAGACGTTTAAAGACACAATGCGTTTTACAAGAGCTAGTTTTCATTGAAATGTTAAGGGAGCCCTAGAGCTGAAAAAGTGAAAAAGGATTTTCCCTTTTTGGTGACTTACCAAAGAGCTTGATGATGAGACACTTTGTAAGTTCCGCGGTTCTCGGGCAAGAGACAGCTCATAAAGCTCGTCCTCTGATAACCGTGGTTGTGTTGAAACCTGTAGACAGATAAAGAGACCGTTATAAAGAAATGTCTCAGCATCGACCTTGAACTAGCAACATTTTGTTAGAATCAGCATAATTATGAATGTCAAGTAGATATAGATGAAGAGTTTGCCATTACTTTTGTAGTATTTTTGTACTTTTTTTCATCTTTAAATTCATTGAAACTAATAAAAAAGAACATTGAAAACGCATCGCTGTACAAAATTACACTCAATCATTATTTTCGAAATCCATGATATTAATAAAAGTATCTCTTACTCTCAACATGTTTAAAAGTTCCACATTTGGAGAAACTGGAGGCGATAGTTTTTGAACCAGGAAGAACTTGGACAGAATTCCAGACAGAGTTACAAGTTTGTGTACATTTATAAGATTGCCATTGACAATATCTGGCAAAGCTGTATTTGTAGCAATGAGATCTTTCAGCTGAATGCCTGTTGAATACAACAAAGACCTGTTGAGCCTTTTATTTTTTATTTTATTTTTTTGAGAATTAAAGACAGCTCACCTCTGTGTATGTTGAATCCAATTTTTCATGATGGAAAAAAAGAAAACATATCAAAATGAATAATGAATTTGCAATTAAAACTTTCACAAATTTGATGATATTGGAGATGGGGAAATGAAGGAATATGAAAACAAATCATGAAACTTACAAGACTGGTATAAAGAAACCACTACAACATGACAATCTTTTCCTGTAAGTGGAGTAGTTACTTTCAGAAGACATGAACTCAGCAAGAAGTGTTATGTACTGTAAACAACACCACAAATGAATCAATAAATAAGTCAAGTAATAATCATCTGATTGAAATAAGAATCAATCAATCAGTCAGACAATTCAAGAAATTTGCATTTTGGCAATTAATGAATCAATCAATTAAATGCAATGAACCATACATCCAACTTTCCAAATCTAACACCTATATTCTATTTCATGAATGATAAAGTGAAATGCCATACCTCTTTGCAGTCTGGAGAAATATACTCTCTAGTGAGATGAAGTCTTGACAGTACTGAATTAGTCAGACCACCTGAGACGGCCAAAAGTCCATTAAAATTCTGTAATTCTTTGAGATGCTGTTATAATAGACAAAAGGAAATCAATTTCAAGAAATCCACACATCAATGATTGTGTAGCACTGTTTACACCAACATTTCCATGGAGTCAACTAAGTGAGGCAAAACACGAGTCCTTTTCCTGTCATGAATATTAACCTTTGCAACTTTCTGAAACTTTTCCATGCATTTTGCTCTTTCTTCTGGTGTCTTGTGGTTAAGTACCATAGCTTGAATCCATTTAGACAAACCATTAAGCATTGAAACATATCGTTCCAGATAAGGAGTTTGCTCTAGCTTTGAAAATACAGCATAACTCTTCCATTCTGAAAACTAAAATCAAATGAGAAATCAATAACAAGCTATGAGATTTTCAATGATCCCGATCCCAGGGCTAAAAACTCAATCCCTAATCCCAAAAATCCCAGTTATTTTCATTCAAATATCTATAGAATTGATTTTAATTATATGAGGAAGTGGCTGATCCCATTAAAGAGTGCTCAATACACATAAAGTGTAGAGCTAGTTATATATATGATATCAAAGAGGCAAGATTTTGCTGTAACTCTAGATTAAATACTGTCTGATGAGTGCATAGCACGAAACTCGGAGTTACAGCAAAATCTTGCCTCTTTGATATCATACATAGAATTGATTTTAATTTTTTTTGGCAGTTTTTTTGCTCCTTAACACATCAGACTTCTTCACACTCTTATATTATTTCTATAACTGAAAAGAATTTCAAAGGTTGTGTATATTAAACTATTAATACTTACAGGTATTCTTCTAAGGATTTTAAAATCAAGATATGTGAGTTGTTCAGCTATCTCAAGGGGTGACTGATCATGGAATGCCAGAGAGACCTTGCGATCAAAGGATGACCGTCCATGATAAATGTTTACACTGACGGCACGTTGATGAATATCATGAAATCCACTATGGATAAATTTAATAAATAAAATATGAGAAACTGGACCATTATCAGATATATTATTGATCATGGTATGCTCAAATGCACAAGGAATAAAAATAAAATTACATAAATATTTGATTTATTGTGGTATAGATATATGGTAATAATCTAATAATAATTCAATAGTATCAATAACAATAATACATAACTCTGATTGCATTACTTACATGTTTGCATAATCAATGATATCTTTCAAAGACTGATCTCCTTCGGCATCAATAATCGATTCTAATTGTCTATGTATATCAATAAGCTGTTCATTTCTTCTAAAGTCCACCTGATGATGTGCCATCCAGTAGCTAAAAATTACAAAACAAATTGACATTTTCACATGTAAAAGATGTCTTTCTCATCAGTTTGGACATTTTGACAGTGTGTTGCTACAGTGCATAGCTTTCATGCAAGACAAATGGGTACTCTATATTTTTCTCTACATTAATAATTAAGAAATGCCCATTTTATGAAGATGACCATAAAATTTATCAAATTATAATTGCTCATCATATAAATCTAAATCACAAGTGAAAGAAGGTTGGTCAAGGTCAAACTAGGCTTGGTATAAAAAAACAAATAGATCTTATCTTCAAGAGTTGGACTTCCTGTGGCACTTGAAAACACCTTATATCAATGAATTATTATTTTGATCATAGAACTATAGAGCCTATCATGAGGATAATTTTGAATGAGAGATGGATTTCATTTTCGTTGAAAATATGAATGGTCATTTTCTTCCTATCTTGTCTTATTTTTCTCTTTTGTATACCTGACTGCTTGGCAAATAGAAAACCTTCTTGAGTTTTCTGCGGTGCTGGCATCTATTTCTTTACATTTTACATATCTAATTAACATTTTTCAGTTAAGTCAACAATAATTATTTCATTCATAATAAAAAGTTGTGGGAAAGACATTGACAAACATGAAAGATTGCCTTATTGGGTTTTATTCATATATTAAATGAACAGAAGTCATATTCGTGATTTTGTTGCTATTTTAGGAAATGGAAACAAATGAATTATTTTCACAAATCTATTCAATTATCTCTTTGATCATGTAAGACCCACATCAAAAACCTCGTTTAAGAGCAATTGATAGCAAATTTCTAAAAGGTCAAAGCGATGAAAAAAATCAAGATTACAATGTTTTTAAAAGAGGATACGCATTCAGAAATATTTCCAAGAGCTTGTCTGATTCAACAAACCACTGATGTGCAATAAAAACAGCCTTGGAAAGAACGGGTTCCTCTTCAATCGGTCCATTTTCATCTGTTGATTATGAATAAAGAATAGGTATAATCTTAATTAAGGTAATTGAGAACAAACAGCCTGTTCGAATGTCTAATGATGCGAGCGGTGCTGAAAAGCATTTATGTAAACACTGAAAAAATGTAATCAAAACCACAAAGCCTGCGCTACAATCCTGTTACAGTATTAAACTGCTTAAATAATACACTATTTGGCTTAGAACTACAAAGATCATATGCTCTTGAAATATAAAATACGTCTAGATTTTAAGATAATTAAGCTTAAGCTTAAGTTGAACTGTAGAATAATATTAAACAAAAACAATTTCTCGTCGAAAAGATCAATGTTATCGCTAGTTTACACATCAGGAACTTGGCCTTTTCCTAGACTGAACTTCAAAAATTGCTTCATAATATAAGATTTCTTACCGAATTCATCCACGCAAAACTCAACTAGTTTTTCCAAAGTGGCAGCTCGGATATGACGGCCAGAATCGTCTTCTTCCACTATGTAATCTACCACATTTGACATAATGGACACTTTAAGCTGTAAGGATAAATGAAACAAGAACCATAACAGCTGAAATAATCAATACGTGAAAATGCGCCAAGAAAACAATACCTACTAACAAAGAGATTTTCACTTTATAGTACCATTATAATCCCWGTGCACGCGGGTTGAGGACCACGAGACTGGGTCCGTGCTCTTAGTAGTAGGTCCAAATAAGTCAAAAATCTTTGATTTTTCTGCCAGTATGCGAATGCAGCTGTGTAACATCACATGTCAAATTATAATGACGACCGTATCATTCAAATTGTGCATGACTGTCAGAGCAGTTCAATAATAACAATAAGCTTAAGTTTACAAATAAACATTTTAACACAAGCCTTACCTTTAACCATGGGATCGTGATAATTTCTTACTACCGGGTTATACAAGCRGGGTCTTCATATACATTGAGAGGAGTAAGCTATCCAAATATCGTCATTCCAATAAAGACAGGAAATTCCAAACCCGCTCCACGAGTAGCAGTGCAGCCAGCTTCATGAGCGTATCCGGTTGTGGTCGGAGAGGAGTCAGCGACGCGTGTAATGTTCGGATTTAGCTCGGTGATCCCTTCGACATCATTCGGAATGATATATTTACGTAAGAGGTGGGCATGTCTCAGATAATCTTCAAAAATAACCTTTCGAATAACAGTCCGTATTGTGTGATAAAAATGATTCCGTCTAAAGTTCAAACATAGACAGAGTTCAAAGATGTTTTGATATGCAGGGAGAGGCTTAGCCCATTAGGTGTCATGGGTTGGTCAGTGCCCGCAGCAAATTGGCAGTTTGTTATTGTTTTGAGCTTCAGTGAAAACCTAGCAGTTTTGAAATTGTTTTGCCAAATTTTGGGTTTTTCTGCGACTCACAGTATAAAAACGCTTTAAAAGCACTTTAAAATTAATTCTCTTCTATTTATGAAATTTGCACTAGTATTTTCACCTTCAAAGCTTCTATGTCACGACGCAAGTATTTACGCTGTATGGTTGTAAAATAACATCAAAGTAGTCACTGAACTTTCAAGTTCGTCTCAAGGTACAATCTTGGTACAATGTACGTAAACCGCACCTTTACACGCCCGGTCGGGACTCCTGTGTGCATCGAGTGACGTTATCGACCCCTTTTCGTTTTCTTTTCACAAAAGTGATTTCCCGGCYGTACATGATTTACAGTAATGTGCTAGTTTTCAAGTGCATAATGTTTATCCATCTTTATCCAATTTATTGATTCAATTCCACGTATCCAGTTCATTTACATATTATATATAAAAATATATCCGTTTTAGTTGAGTGACATTACGTTTGGAAGATTGATTATTTTGAATTTCGTTAGACGTAAAAGCAGAAATTATACAAAAATCCACCGAAAAGTTCTGCAAAAGGATTWTATATATCAACGTGCGAGTAGAAAGCGAACATATAATCAGTCAATCGATAATTGGTCGTTTGTGGTAAATGAGCCAATCACAGTGTTTACCAACGGTCGAGCGGCAATATTCAAACCGAACACAACTAAAGGCAAAATAAGTTAGGCAGTTTCACTTTATCTGTTCTCTCGTAAAAATGAGGGATCTTTCGTCTATCGATTTCAAGGACAATGTAAGGTTTGTTATTCGTCGTGAGTTGAAGAGTTTAGGACTAAAAGTTCCCAAGAACAAAGCAAATACAAAACAGGTAAGCTTAACTAAATTGTGCGAACTACCTTGCTGCACGTACTAGCTTCTACTTTACTAATGCTTTTTCTTGGCAAAAATGATGTATTTGTGCTTCTAACTAGAGCTTCGTCATTTACCTAATGTTTAATGTACTAGTTCAGGTTAAGTATAAACGTGAATGACGAGTATTAACCTCGTGTAGTGTCGTCAACACGCGTTCTTTGACTTCCATATCCAACGACGGTAAAGTGATTCCTTTTCACATCACAGCAAAGAGTTCCAGCTGATCCATATCCATATCTATTTTATAGTCGATTGAATGCAACAGAGAAGGGGTGTTTGGAGTCTATCTCGACAAAGTTCCCTCTAAAAATGTCTCGGAAGACTTCTACTGTGGGGTGCCAAAGTAAGTACAATTTTTGTCTTCATAAAAAAAAGTTTAATAAAGTTTAATAATGACCAATAATGTATCAATTTTCTCTAGTTCACATTTCCCATTGTATTCCTAACATTATGATTATTTCTTTCTGCAATCCAGATTCTTAGTGGATGCTTGCAATTTTCTTCGCAACCATCTTGGCACAGAGGGGCTCTTCAGAAAGTCTGGTTCTGTACAAAGACAAAAACTTTTGAAGGTAAAAACTTAATTGTATGAGGAAGTAGCTGATCCCATTAAAGAGTGCTCAATACACATAAAGTGTAGAGCTAGTTATATATATGATATCAAAGAGGCAAGATTTTGCTGTAACTCCGAGTTTCGTGCTACGCACTCATCAGACAGTATTTAGGTAAAAACTTAAGGGGCGATAACTAAGTATTGTTGGTGTTAACCTATTTGTAGTAATCAAGAAGCTCCATAACTATTTAAAGCTGTCACTTCCTCAATTATCCTCCAGTACACAATGATGGATCGATAGATTCACAGCAGAGTGTTCAGGCTTCATCAAAAAGTCAAACTTTCTGTTATATTTTGATTAATTCCTACACTCCTTATTTTGACAGCAAAGAGTTGAAATTGGTGAGGYAATTACAACAGCTAACCCTCATGATGTTGCTAGTTTGATAAAGCTGTTCTTCCGACAACTACAAGAACCACTCCTGACGAACCTTTATCATGAYAGTTTTATCAAAGCACTCAAACAAGAAGGGGAAGGAGATCGTGTGATCATTATTTTGTACACTTGTTTGATGTTGCCTTTGGTTCACCTCCAAACATTGCAGTACTTCCTTAAATTTGCTGCAGAAGTTGCAAGCCATTCAGCTGAAAGTGGAATGACCTTGTCAAATTTAGCAATTGTCCTAACACCTAATCTAATGCACAATTCAAAGAAAGATAACAGTAGCAGTGCATCAGAAAAGCTCCTCAAAGACCAAACATTTGTAGTTGAAACTTTACTGAAACATGCTGAACGTATCAGCCTTGTACCTGAAGATATTTATGAACGTGCAAAGCTGATTGGAGAAGATGGGGGTGACATGACTTCATCTGGTGATGAACTAGATGAACAGCCACATAAGAGCAAAAGAGTTCCAAGGGCAAGGACAAGAACTGGCTCAATAACAGGTATTTATCAAAACCTAACTTCAGTGTTTTCAAGTCAGGAGGAAAGATATGCTCAAAAGACTCTTTTCTTTCTAAACACATCCCTCTCAACCTTTGCATATACTTTCAGATTGACAAAGCTATAGATGATATCAAACAAATCTAAGCAACAGTTTCTTTGCTGATTTTGACTCATATTTTGACAGGGTTTCTTGGCCAAAGTTTGAACAAGCTCAAGACCAATTCCAATTCTTCCCATCACCACAGGAGATCTAAAAGTGTCAAGGCTGAGATTCATAGGAACAGACTAAATGACATTCAGWCTGCTGTAGTTAGTAGAGGTAGGCAACATTAATATATAAATCACTGTAAAATTCATTTTACAATGATAATTGCAGGTTTTATGATTAAATTTGAAAAAGGAGATGCCAAAAATGGAAGCTGAAATTTGAATCATGAGTTTATTCCATTACTGCTTTTCTATATTTTAATGGATGATTGATGTTCTAAACTATTGATGACTTTACCAGATAATGGCATTGATGTTATAATATTAGAATTATTATGATGACGTTTGCTTTCAGATGATTCCCACTTGAATAAAATGACCTCACTATCAACTGAAAGAATGGACTTGAGGTCARGTGCAAATAAACGAAGAATAATGGAATACAGTAATGCATCAATGTCACCTGCATTTAAAAGGTATTAAAATAAATATGAAACCACAAAAATAAGATTATTTCACCGCTCAATGAAACAGATTGTTTTGTACACTTTCACAATTTAATAGTCAGTACACATACATCAAGTTTCCCATATCCTTGATAGTTCTTTGAAACAAAAGATTAAATAATATATAGTGTTTGAAGAAAAGGTTACATGAGAACATTTTGTCTAGAAGGGCCAGATTGGGACACAATGATGGAGATTCTGGGATTGGTCATCCAATTATTGTATCGAAGTCGACACAGATGTTTACCACAACAATCAAACCTTTGACACCTGTCAGGCCACTGACAGACATGGGTATGTTAATGTAACAGTTAAAATAAAACTAAACTAAAATTATTGCTTGAAACTATCAACATAACAGCTCTTCAATGATAAGTGGCACAAGCCAAACCTGTTATTAATATTTATTAGACATTGARATCAACTATTATTCTACTTTTGATACAGTTAAAAAAGAGCATGCAAAGACTTTGCTATCAGCTGAAAATGAGCATGTTAAAGTTATTGATGCCATGACCTACRTCCCTTCACCTGATAACACCAGTCAAGAGGGAAATATGGAAATTTCATCAAAATCATCTCTGAAGGAAGAGGTGTTTGATTCRCCAGTATCRGGAAGGAAAACGGGAMACAGAAGAAGGGTTAATAGAAGGTGGGTGCATTTAACATCGTACTTGACTCTTGTGTTTATCAGTTTAATATAGAATGAGTTTATAAGTCAGTTCTCTTAGATGATTCAAGAGATTTTCTTTTGTGTTCTCTAGTTTTCTTCCTAATCTAAAAGCTAATTCAGTTGAGTCTGTGGTGTGCTATATTTAGCACATTCAATAAGCAGTTCAGTGTAAACTTTTGTGTAAATGAGAAGACAGTCATTTGAATTATTATTATTATTATGAATTTCATTCTTAAATTTTTTTTCTCTTTTTTTTAATTTAGAAATTCATCTGGGGCAACGTCATGTTTCTCTTCATCACCACGGCACAAAAGAAATGGGAGCAGCAGTAAGCAGGTACTAGGTGTAATTTTATAATATACCTTGAAGTGCATATAGTTCCTAATAAACAATAATCACTAAGGCAGGATTTTCTGTTTACTAATAGAACTTGCTTGAAGATGGATGGAGGAACACAAATCACACWCCAAACACGGAAAATGCCAAACCCGATGTTATTACAGATGCTGTTATTAAAAGCATGCCTCTTACTCCTAAACATAGTAATATTCAARTAGAAAGAATTTCACATGACTTGGTATTTAGTGCTGATCATGTCAGAAATACAAAGGAGAAAATTACTGATGATAATATGACACCTTGCAAACACCATGTTGCTACTCCTCCCATGCCACATTCTAGCCACAAAGAACTCAAAACTTTACTCTCAACAAAAATTTAGATTTAATATCAATATACAAAATGCAATTTGAATATGAATGAATTGTATTATAAGTGCAAAAGATTGCCAAAGCTTTTTAGAGAAAGTATATAATAAATCAGCAATAGAATTTTTGCTTTGTTCGAATTTGATAAGATTTAACAATGAAAACATGAATTTAATGAGTGCATATCTATAAGTGAAACTCAAAAGCACTGTTATSACACAATAGGGTGATTTTATCGAATCTTGAGAAGTAAAATGCATGGCAATTCACTTTGTGATAGCCAATAAAGACTTTGCAATGGTGGGGCTTTCTCTGATCAATAACAATGGATACCTACTCTTGCTCTGACTAGTGTTTTACATAGATAATTTGTATATAATGAGCTTTGATTTTAGTAATGTAAATGTTGTGTAGATATTTTATAAGTGATTTAGCTGTTTTTATCTATTAGTTGTATAAACATGTAATAATGGAGTGCAAGAAATGATAGTTTGAATGAATTTTATTAAAAGTAAAAGTATAATGTATCTTTTCTGCTACTTTCTGGGTTTAGCTCTGGCACAAGACTCACAAATGTTTGACTATAGCTACGATGCAAACAGATATATAACCTTGAAAATTTATATGTGCATTTCAAGTGTCTGTCATTGCTATGCATGCAATCTTCAGACATGCTCAACAAGGATACATTTTGTCCTTCACTGTAGGGAAGGACATGTTGAGGAAAATGGACTTGTTTACAAAGTAGCTTACAGAAACAAAGACCTAATTTTGCTGTTTGCAATCTATAATACAGATCTATAATATGTGATGCACCTAAGAGAGAAAATTTGACCTAAATTTTACAAGGAAATATGGGAACAGCCCCATAATAATAATCTTAATGAGTATAACATTTACAAAAGAAATGACATGGTTTACTTTTTGTGGACAAAAAAAAACTTACTAATGTCTGTTTCTCCGGGTAGGTTTTTACAATAATGTGACTGATGTGATTTAAAATGTTTACATGCTTAAAGACAACCTATTACCAACAAAAGAAATTTGGAAAGAAAGATTCCAAGTACTAATCAAAYGGCATGTCTTGAATCTAAGAGTCGAATTTCATTTAAGATCATATCTTTGCATCTTTTGGGTCTCCTCGACCTTCCAATATTCAGTTATTTTATAAAGGAAAATATTTGTAGAAGTCTCACTATCTTCACAAATTAAGTATTCACATTTACCATTTCTAGTTTTTTTCAGTAAAACATGTTTGATTTTTACTCTAACTGTTGAAGCATGTTGAGTTGTTTTAAAACTTTGCTTTGRCTTGTTTCTCTGATTTCGCCAGCCAAGAACATCTCATCTACCACTGAATAAACCTAGGGAAGAAAGACACATTTGATAAAGTAAATGACAATCGTGGATATGACAAGATTAGCTAGKCAGTYACAGTGCCTCTACCAGTGCAAGGTCRYRATTCACAAATTATTGTTGATTCTGTTGTAATTCTATATTCAAGTGAACACACCAGTTTCTCTCTAATCTATACCTAATACTTCTAGAATATTAACAGTAACACAACTTGTCACTTGGATAAGCACATAAGTAAATGCTTTAGAAKTTTCCATACCTTGTAAAAGTTGAACACTAGATCAAGCTCACAAACATTATGAAAGAACTCATTTAGAACCTGAAAGATAAATARCACAAATAATTATTGATATATTATAGGAATTTTTACAACAATAAAATAGAATCACCACTAAAGACATCTGTGAGATCATTATGTAATACACGACAAAGCTACAGTAAAACTTACCTCTACAAAGTTATGGATTGCTTCTAGATAATACAAGTTATTATCACTGACATCAACACAAAAGCAAAAGTACAGGCCTGCATATCTCCGGTATACAATCTTGAAATTTCTAAACTGTAACAAAACAAAATAGAGGACGATAATATACTAGATTCCTCGTTTTTAATGTAGAATGTATTACTCCTCCACTTCATTATTCCTTGGCCCTTTTACAACCATAGAATAATCAAAGACTGGGATGGAATGTGTACAAAGTTACRACTTAACTAATTACTTAAAAAATATTCTCATTTATCAATTATGATAAWTATCTGGGGGCCTTTATACACTTGCAGCCATCCTAATCCATCTTATTCATCTGATAGGACCTCTAGGAACACGAAAGCCTTGTTCTGGACAGGGCCACTGCGCCCTTTATATACCAGCAGGGACTATATCACTTCCACAGTCACTAATGATTAACAACAATCATACCATCAATCGATTGCCGTCAATTCTATTCGTTTATCGATTTTCATCGATTGCATGGAATAATGAATCGATTTTTATCATCTGTCAGAACTATTAATCGATTGGTGTTGTCGCTATTAATTTTTAGCATGATCATTATGCTCTGTAACTTGTGTCAGATTCAGCATGGATGCTTTATCATACATGCCTTATCATGCCTTACACAATACCTCGACAAAATTAGTGTGCTTTGCATCACGAACAGTAACCAAGGCATGTACTTCTTCGATCAGCTTTTGTTTTTCATCATCATCAAAGTTCATGTACCATTTCGCCAAACGGGTTTTGCCCGCTCGATTCTGAATCAAGATGAATCGAATCTGCAAACACAATCGCAAATTAGACGATGTAATAAAAACACAAATACGCCCATAATTTACCCTCAATATTCATGCATCCTTTCTTGCAAATATATTAGATTCGGAGCATGAAATATCGCACGAAAAGGGGAAAAAACATTTGAAAACTTGGAGTAACTTACCATTTTCTCCACTTKATGTTTGGTGATGTGAGGTGACTAGAGAATGATGGGAATGATTTAGCACAGGAAGCCCACGACTGTTGAATATGGAATGACTGTGACGACACATATATCATTAAAAATTCGCCATATTAAATTTTAATTATAGCATCGTCTCCAACATACATAACTACGGTAAGTGTTTTTGATTGAATTTCCTTAAATAGTTAAATTGGATAATTAATTGTTCGGACATTGGAATTTTTCATTTTCCGCTATATCACTTAATTCGATTCTCATTCCTCTACTATCCCATTTCACAATACTAGAAAAATGAGTCTTGCATCATAAGCTTGATAATGTAAAGAACTGAAAACGTTACARTGCAACAATACACTTCAATGCTTGTATGATCATTGGATACGTGCTTATAACTGAGTTCTTTAGTTGAATAATGTGTTTATCAATGCGTCATTCTGAGTAATTTATATATCATACTTTGAAAATTACAATCGAAAGACAGCATACATGAGTAACCAAGACAACAGTTCAATKCATTATTAACGATTATTATAGCACTGTTCTTTCAGTGTACTGTTCACTAATGTTAGAGTTGTGATGATCTGATATCACATTTTTGCGGCAGGAATCTTGACRAGTGATCTGATCAGTCATGTCAGTCAGAGCTGGGCTTCGCAACCCTTACACTGCAGAGAGTGAACCTACTCGGCGAAAATCAAGGGTTTCTAGACTTTTAGAAGTTCCTAGTCCCGTAGTAGATAGCAGTGACGACGAACCCTTTTTCGACGATGATGGAATGTTTGTGGTTCCAAGATTTGATCCTTCACGAGTGAAAAAGAAAAAAAGGACGCTCGAGTTAGCGAACCGAAAAGAAGTCAAATTTGCACTGAAATCATTTAAGAGTCTTCTAAGTACATCCCGCACTAATCCGTCGTCCTTACGTCGTGTGCGGTTTGGAATAATGGTAAGTACCGTTCAAA